GACAATCCAGACATCAAGACTATTCTTGGTTACTGTTAGATGAGATTCCTAAAGCATTGGAATCCCAAGGATGCCGAAGGCCAGGGAATGGTTTTTGGCTGTTGGGCGAAGCAGAAGGGAGTAATCAGAATTATGTGACTTGCAACATTTATCCTGTTGCTTCAAGGCCCATATGGGCCCTTTCAGGGTTATGCTGACTCACAAACCTGGTGGAATCAAGATATTAAGGGGCAAGTGGTTCCTTCCATGTGTTCTCCTAAAATTATAGGATCATTTCATTTTCCTCTGAAACGGTAGAAATGAAGCGGAAATAGGTTAGGATTGTATGTGGGTGAATTCTTTTAAATTTAACGCATTCCTGGTGTTTTTGAATCCTTTTCCCTGCAGGGCACAGTCGTTTGCTGAGCGCCTGCGGTTGGGAATCGCTGTGATCCATGGGGAAGCTCAGGATGCCGAGTCTGACATGGTGGATGGTCGGCACTCCCCACCTACAGCCAAATACGTAGCTGCTATTCACCCCAGTTTGGAGATCCCCAGTAAGTAAGTGTGTGTGGGAAAGTGTTACCCGTCCTTTTTTTGGGGAATGGGGCTGGCAGTGATGGGCCATCAAAAAGGAACTGGTGCTGTCTGCCAGCCACTTTGTTTCTGTGCTAAAATTAAGAATTCATTGAATTGGTTAACAATTTGAGTGTAAATGAATGTAGTTAATGTTTTAACTAAGCTTAAAAAGATCATTTATGTATTAAAGTCCTGCTGGTTTTCCCAGTAATGCTGTTGAAATAGTTGTTGGTCCATGTCTCTCTCTTAACTGTGGTGACCCAGCAGACATTATTAAAGTAAATTATATAAACTTTCTCTTTTCTTTCTCCTTTCCATCCCTCTAAACCAACTTTCCCTTAATCAGTGCTGATTCCTAAGGAAAAGCCACCCATCACAGTTGTTGGAGATGTGGGAGGAAGAATAGCTATCATCGTGGTAAGATGTCCTCACTTCTCATCAATGATATTAAACATGTTAAAGTTGAAGAAATCAAGTAAACATTCTGTATCAGCCACTAAACTTGGGTTGCTGGTGGACTTTTGATTCCATGGGGCAGGATTGAGCACACTGTGAAGTGATCCATGCTGAAAAGCAGAGTTTGGACCTTGTTTCCATGAGTAGGGCAGGTGAAACTCTGTTCAATGCTTACCTGCAGGAGAGGGGTTTCAGGTGCACATCAGAGCAGGGGAGAATCACTGTGTTTCTGTCCAGGAGTTTTAGTGAAGCTGAGATGATGGACGTGGAGCTGTTGGAACAAGTCTAGAGGAGGCCACCAGGTTGATTAGAGGGATAGAGCTCCTCTGCTGTGAGGAAAGGCTGAGAGAATTGGGATTGTTCAACCTGGAGAGGAGAAGACTCGGGGTGACCTAACTGTGGCATTCCAGGGCCTGAAGGGGCCGTCAGGAAAGATGGAGAGGGACTAGTTAAAGGGCCTGGAGTGACAGGACAAGGGGGAATGGCTTTAAGCTGACAGAGAGTAGGGTTAGATTAGATATTAGGAAAAAATTCTTCCCTCTGAGGGTGGGGAGGCCCTGGCACAGGTTTCCCAGAGAAGCTGTGGCTGCCCCATCCCTGCAAGTGTCCAAGGCCAGGTTGGATGGGGCTTGGAGCAACCTGGGATAGTGGAAGGTGTCCCTGCCCACACCAAGGGGTGGAATGAGATGATCTTTAAGATCCCTTCCAACCCAGACCATTCCATAATTGTATGATTCAGTCATGGTTTCTCTAAAGCAGAATGTTATCTCTGGGCTTGTCATAAAACAGGGCAATCTTCTGATAGTTTGGGTTCTGTTGTACTTGCTAGAGCTGCCCTGTCAGTCTGAGTGCTGTGTGTGAGGCCGTGGTGACTCGGTGGTGACTCGGTGGTGTTTTGGCAGGATGACATCATCGATGATGTCGACAGCTTCCTGGCTGCGGCCGAGACCCTCAAGGAGAGGGGGGCTTACAAGATCTTTGTCATGGCCACCCACGGCCTCTTGTCTTCAGACGCTCCCCGGCTGATCGAGGAGTCTGCCATCGATGAAGTAAGTGTGGATTCTGAATCCTGATCAAATGATGGTGGGTTTTTTTTTTAAGGAAACATCTACATGTCCTTAAGCTACAGCAGGAGAGGGAAACGTGGGAAGTGGTGAGATACTGGACTGTCAGTGTCAGTGGAGCTTTCCCCTCAGCGTGGGGGATATTTTTGTACCTTCCTCTGGCCCTGCGTGGCAGAATGAGTGAAAGGAAAGAAGGACAGTGCCATTAGTATCCATGGCAACATGCGGCTTTTCCTAGGAATTTGACCCTGACAAAAATGTAAAATCTTACCAGCAGTGGTGGCTTGATAGGATCTGTGAAACTCCCTTTCACACTTCCAATAGGGAAGGTGGAAAACATTATGGAGCTACGTCCTCCTGATCATTTTTTCTTCCTGTAGGTGGTTGTTACAAACACAATTCCACATGAAATACAGAAACTCCAGTGCCCTAAAATCAAGACTGTGGATATCAGCATGATCCTCTCAGAAGCCATTCGCAGGATCCACAACGGGGAGTCCATGTCGTACCTTTTCAGGAATATAGGACTGGATGATTAATGCTTCTTACCCTAAAGAAACACCCCAGGCCAAACTGGAAGCGAACAGAGAACGAGCTGTGAAGCATCGTGCTTACCTTAATCTTTCCGTTGAGCCACTTCTTCTTTTCTCTTGGTTTAAGTATCAAGGTAGAACAGTTTTTAAGAGCTTTTTTTTTGTTTTTTCTTTGCAGGTTTTTTTTTGGGGGGGTGGGTGGGAATAAACATTTTACAAAAAACTGTTCTAGTTGCTTTTAGGTTAGTTGCACTATACACGATGGAAAAATCCCACAAAACACTTGAGGCAAGAAATTGGCTTCTAAATTAAGCATTCCTTTTCCAAAGCTGCTTGCTACAAGTGCTTTAAATGATAACAAAATGAAGTGACTGTATAATATTTGCATTTTAAAAGCCAAAAAAGTTGTACTGTTGTATGCAGTTCAGTGATTTTGTAGGAGTGCTTTTATAGAAAAGCATATGGAATATGCACCTGTATTTATTTTCTGCAACAAAGAATAAAGACTTGTTTTGTGTGAGCTTTCTAAAAATATTCATGTGCTAGTCCCTTGTCTTCCAGACTCTGTCCTCTTAAATATTGGCAGGTGTTACAGGTGGATATCAGGGAGCAACAGGGACTTAGAAACTGGCACACATTGCCTAGAGAAGCTGTGGCTGCCCCATCCCTGGAAGTGTCCAAGGCCAGGTTGGACAGGGCTTGGAGCAACCTGGGATAGTGGAAGGTGTCCCTGCCCATGGCAAGATGACCTTTAGGGTCCCTTCCATCCCAAACCATTCTGTGATTCTGTGACTGAGGAATATTGTGAGGGGTGGTAATTCAAGCTGGTAAAATCCAACTCAGCTCATCACAGGTAAACTGAGCTTTTCTGAGATTTCTTGCCTGGCCCGAAAGCGTGGATGAGTTAAAAAATACTCTGTAGTGCAGAGCTGAACTTGTTCAGGTTTGTTTTCCCAAGCATCCCTGGGCAGGTGTGGGTGGAATGGCCGGACAGCTGCCAGACGGCTTCTGGTCCTGGAGACTTGAAGTTCCTCACCTGTTGCAGAGAAAACAGCAGTGGAATTGATGAGCATTTAAAGGTGGTTTGGTTTAATCTCCCCGTCATGTCCTACAAATGAGTATAAAACTTTCTGCGTGTTCAGAAGGGAAAGTTAACCTTTGCCGACACCAATTCTCTGCTTGAGATGAACTTCCGAGGGCTTTGGAGGGTTCATTGACTTCTGAGGATAAAAGCAGGTGTTTTCCTTAACGTTAATGGGTACACCAGGCTGATGTATTCACACTTGTCAGTACTTTGGATGTGTTAATGCGGGTCAAATTCCAGCGGGGCAGTGAGGGGGAAGGTCGGCTCCTCTCATGGATGTGTGGAGCTGCTCCCGCTGCCGCGGCGGCTCCTTCAAAGGGAGGAGGAACGCTGACCTGGCTCGGTGATGGGTATATTAGTTGCACTGTGTTTATTTTATTAGTGAGACCTTGTGGAAGCGTGCTGCCACTTGGGAAGGAGCCAGCCAAGCCTCCAGCACAGCAAACTGATGGCTAAATACCCAAAAATGTGGAATTCAAAGGTGGTTTCCTGTGTCTGTTTCGTGTTGGCCTTTAAGGAATAACGATGTCTTCCTTTCTCGACAGCTCCCTGAAAGGAGAGCGCAGCCAGTTGGTGGTCTCTTCTCCCAGGTAACAAGTGACAGGACAAGAGGAAACGGCCTCAAGTTGCACCAGGGGAGGTTTAGGTTGGATATTGGGAAAAATTTCTTCGTGAAAGGGTTGTCAAGCGTTGGAACAGGCTGCCCAGGGCAGCGGTGGAGGGATTTAGAAGCCATGTAGATGTGACACTTGGGGACGTGGTTTTGGTGGTGACATGGGAGTGCCGGGTTAATGGTTGGACCGGATGATCTTGGAGGGCTTTCCCAACCTAAATGATTCCAGGATTTATGATCCCTTCTATGAGGGTTTCTCCTGGTCACTCTTTGCTGCCATGCTGAGGCTCCACCTCAGGCATTCACCCAACTCCTGTGTTCAATCGTTCCTTTAACACAAAACCCCCAGCCTTGCCTCGTTTCATGCAAAGCAATTATGGTATTGACGAGGGCTCAAGAATTTGGGGACAGATTTCATCCATGGGCCTGGATTGCTTGTCCTTTAGCTTTTCTTTGGAGTGGTAGAAAAGGATTGAAGCGTGTACAGCATCGCTGGGACATTTTTTGTACCTGTTCATTTGTGAGGCACCAAAACAGAGGTGTTTCAGCTCCCTGGGGAGCGGAGGGGCGGGAGGCAGCAGAGGCCACACTGCCCACCCAGGCACCTTTGGAAGTGCAATTCCTGCTGCCAGGTTGTTTAATGATAAATGCCCTTGGGCTGCTAACAAGTTACTGATTGAGTGACTGTCCGTGTGAGGCTGAGGATGAAGAAGGAGGCAGAGGGATGATGGAGAGCAATTCCACTGCTGGAGCTGTTCTCCCCTTGCAGCAGTTCAGCATTGCTGACCTTGTTGTGGTAGTGGCTTATTTTTCCTTAAACGTTGGCGTGGGAATATGGGTGAGAGTCTTTTCTCTTGTTCATTTCTGCTTTCTTGTTTGAATGGTGGGTTTTTTTCCGGGCTGGCTTTTCGGTGAAAGCCTCCATTATTTTCTTGTAGTTTTCATTTGTGTGTTTTGTGCTGGGGGGAGCCAGGCTGGGAGAGCTGGGGGTGTTCACCTGGAGAAGAGAAGGCTCCAGGGAGACCTTAGAGCTCCTTGCAGTGCCTAAAGGGGCTCCAAGAGAGCTGGAGAGGGAGTTTGGATGAAGGGGAACGGCTTTGAACTGCCAGAGGGCAGGGTTAGATGGGATATTGGGAAGAAATGCTTCCCTGTGAGGGGGTGAGGCCCTGGCACAGGTTGCCCAGAGAAGCTGTGGCTGCCCCATCCCTGGAAGTGTCCAAGGCCAGATTGGACAGGGCTTGGAGCAACCTGGTCTAGGAAGGGGATGGAATAAGATGACCTTTAAGGTCCCTTCCAACCCAAACTGTTCTGGGATTCTGTGATTTGCTCTGTTTTGTGCAAACCCTCTGCCCTTTTCACCCCCTATAGAAAAGCTCCTATAGCTTGGGAACAAGGTGGAATCAGCCATGGCACAAACCTCTCCCCTGGCCTCTGTGTGCTGGGTGTGAGCAGCTCTGCCCCTTGCCTATTACAGGGTGTTGAGCCAGATGCCCTGATAACACAAACAACCCTCAGCTACAGCAGTTTCAGACAAAGACTCTCCAAACCCATTTATTCTGCCTTGCAGAAAAATCCTGGCCAAAGCTGGGCCCTATTAGCCAACCTGTCTGCTTGGGATGGCACAAGGACAGGCACATCCTCTGTGCTTCCCCCTCTCAGGGAGCTTCCTTTGCCATTCATGGCTCCATGGTTCCTGGGGTGCAGCCACCCTTTCGTGTAATTAAGCTCGAGTTGCAGAGCTCCCATTAATTATCGAGTCTCCTGTCTCTTGGTTTCTTGTCTGGGAGACTTGGGTCTTGGTGTCTTGTCTGGGTTTTTAGGGAAAGGGTGCTCTGTGCTGATCTTTCCTCCTCCCAGTCTTCCTGCAGGGTGAACAGGAACACGGTCAGTGGCTATTTCCTTGCTGGCAGAGACATGGCCTGGTGGCCAGTAAGTAGAGACCTCTCTGTCCCTCCGTGGCACCCTGGGCACAGGGTCATCCTGTGCACCACTGTCCCTCCCACCAAATCCCCTCCCTGCTTTCTCCACTGCCCACGCTTTCCCCCACCCTGCCCACCTCCTCCTGCCAGGATTTGTGTCCTGGGAGCTGCATTTCCCTTCTTGTGGCACAAAGGGTGCTGGAGCCCACTCGGCTTTTCGGGCTTCTCTGAGCCTGGGGAGGGATCCATTGTCCCTGCGTGCTCCTGGTGGCTCCAACAAATCATGGGTGTCCCAAGTTTGGTTTTTCCTTCTCATTTTGGTACAATCTTGACAAACTGGCTGTAGGTCCTTCCCATGTCTGGTACTGGCTCCTTGCACATGGCCACCGGGCCAGGGTGAGTGGCCACCATGGCAAATGCAGCAACACGTGGCTCCTCCTCATCCTCCTGAAGACAAGAAAGTCCATCCCAAACCCACCAGGGATGTCCAGATGAGCTGGATCCATGGGCGTGCTGGTTCCTAGGACTCACAGCTACCTGAGTTTTACCTATTAAGGGATTTTCTTGCAAAAAAGAAATCCCGCATGGGGGGCCTTTGGCCACGCTTCGTTTCAGAAGTGGAAGGGAGGTCTGTGCCCTGTCGCTCCCGTTCAGGCATTATTTTTCCCACCTCCTTTTCCTGAATTATCCCCTCGGGGCTGCGCTGGTGGGGAAGCACCGAAGCTGGTCCGTGCAGAGCCGTGGGGATCCAGCGTTTGGGCACCTGCAGCCCCTCCTCTGCTCCCACAGATCGGGGCCTCGCTCTTTGCCAGCAGCGAGGGCTCCGGGCTCTTCATCGGCCTGGCCGGGAGCGGCGCCGCCGGGGGAATCGCTGTCGCCGGCTTCGAGTGGAATGTAAGAAATGTGTCGTGTCATTAAGGAAATGAGTTTGTCGCAGCAGATGGCCCATTTCACTGTCTCGAAAGGTTTAGGAGGAGCCGTGCAGGGGGGTAATTAACAGAACCCTGCTAACTCAGCTCCTCCAGCTCGTGTACGGTGAGTTCAGAGCCAGCTCAGCTCCACGTGCTCAGGGAAAAGGACATTTTGGATCCGATTTCCTAATCCAGCCCCCGCAGACCCTGACAGGGAAATGACTGAATAGGTCACCCATTCCCTGCTTCCCTGCATGTTTAATTCAAAGTCCTTGGGTTCTGCAGCAAAAAAAAAAGCCTTTGGCTTGTGTGGTGCTCAAGGAGTTGGTGAGAAATGTCCGGTCAGGAGCTGAAGGGCTGAGGGGAGCAGGTTCCTGCCGGCAGGGGTGCTGGGGGGTCTCCACCAGAACCCCATGCCTGCAGTCTGAAGCCATTTGGGGGTGTAAATATTCCCTCAGGAGTAATCCAGGAGCAGGGACAGGGTCTAGGACTGCAGTCAGTGTCGAGCTGCAGCAGGATCCATGTTTTTTTCTGGCTGTGCCATGTTCCTCCTTCCCAACAGGCAACTTACGCTCTTCTGGCACTCGCCTGGGTGTTCGTGCCAGTCTACATCTCATCTGGGGTATGTACAGCTGTCCCAAGCCTGCTCCCAGGAGGACTGTCACCACTGTCCCGTGGGATTCTTGAGTCCTGCTCTGGAATACTGCTGTCCCCTTGCCCCATCCCTGGAGGGTGGGCCCTGGACAGGGCAGTGAAGTCTCTCTCCCCCCCAGCAGATTGTCACAGTGCCCGAGTATCTCCAGCGGAGGTTTGGAGGGGAGAGGATCAGGATGTACCTTTCCAGCCTGTCACTCCTGCTCTCCATCTTCACCAAAATCTCAGTGAGTAGCTCCCCCTTAACTTTGTCACAAATCCACAGCTGATTTCCAGCTATCAAAAGGTTATTCTGGGGGCTCAAACCTTGTGTAGCCAAATCAGGGGAGAGCAGCTGCTGCAGGATGCTCCAGGAGGCAGTGGGACAAAAAGTGGGAATTTGTGGGCAGGTGCTGTCTGTGGCACCCCATGAGTTCTTAGGCAGATCCAGCAGTGATGTCCATGTCCATGTGGCCCAGATAGGACATGTCAGGATTCCCAAACTTGCCTTGTAGCAGAGGTTGTGGGTGAAATGTGCTCCGAGGTCTGGGTTTGTCTCCGTGCTCTGGCAGTGATGCTTTCCAGCATCCCCAAGGGACCCAGCAGAGCCAGGCACTGAATTGGGAATGCATTCATTGCTTTAGGGAGCGTGGGTGGGTTTTCTGAGGAAAGGAAGCCTTGCTGCAGCTGTAAGATATTCAAGCCTGTACAGATAGTGCCTGATTTCCAGGCACTTTTCCACAGGGATGTTTTCCCCTCATTTTGACCTCGTTCACAACTCCCCGTGTGCAGCCTCCGCTCACGCTGGTAACCATGGGAAGAGTTTATCCGAGGTAAAACAGCCAAAGAGCCTGTGATACCAGGTCTAGGGCGAGCAGGAGAGAGCCGGGCACAGACAGCCCTGGGGGGCTGGAGACAGCGAGACAGAGATCAAGAGCAAACAGCTTGGAAAACCTGGAGAGAAAACCTGCCGGAGGGAGCAACCGAGCTCTGATGGAGCAGGTGGATCCGACCTGGGCTCTGCTGGGGCTGAAAGAAAAGTGCTTTTGCAGGTGTCTGGCTGCAAGAGAAGCGCTTTTGCATGAGGCTGGCTGTGAGCAGAGGCTGGCTGAGGCAGGAGGGGCACTGCTGGTGTGTGTCTCCCCACGTCGAGGCGCTCAGCGCCTGCCTCTGCACTTGGCAGCTCTGTCAGCCTGGCTGGATGCAGCATCCCTCCCTGCACGGCATCTCTGCAGCCCCAAGCCCTGGGCTGAGCTCTGGGGGGATCCTCTGAGTCTCCCTCCGAGGGATGTGGGGGCTGGAGCAGCCCACAAACAGGGCTCGCTGTGCACACCCATCAGCACTTAGTGCAAAGGGAGGGGCTGCGTCCCCCTCGGACAGAGCCCTGCACTGAGGGGATGTCCCCGGCTCCAGGAGATCCCTGTCTCCTTCCCAAGCTGCTCTCTGACCTTGGGAAAGGAGTTATGTTTTGGGTTTAACAGGCAAGTTGCAGGGGAGGTGGCAGCCCTTTCCCCATCCCTGCTGGCTCAGGGCTTCCAGAGTGGCAGAGGTGATGCTGGTGACTCCATTGGTGCAGCTGCCACCTGTATTTCCCCCCACAAAACAATGCCCTGTCCTGCTGAAGGGCGTTCTTCCCATAAAACTAATATTCTTTATATCCTAATCATACATACTATTGAAAATCCTACAGCATTGTTCCTGAAATCTTGGCTCCTGGAGCACCAGTTCAGTTTCCAAGTGTGGGCACTGATGCTCTGATTATTCCCTGGTGTCTGGTAAACTGTTGTTCCTGATTCCCCTTCTGTGTCACATCTCTCCCCTGCTCCCAACAAAGACCCAGGAGGAGCCTGGGGGAGATGCTGGAGCACGTTTGTCTGTGGTGCTGGACCCTGGTTCTGTGGTCTGCAGGGAATCTGTGGATTCACACAGATCCCTGCTGGTGTTTAAAAGGAAAAGTTGGAAGCTGGGATAGGATTTCTGCCAGGGTAGTTTGTTCTTGATGGTCTGAAGAAGAGACCATTGGTAGTTTTGAAGTTGTCTTGGAGTCTCTTTCCAGACTATCACCCACATCCCCTCTTCTCTTACCAGATGGTGCCCTACCATGCCAGGGGGCTGTGCTTGGTCCCTTTGGTTTCCAGTCTCTCCATGGCTTTACCCAGGGGAAGGGATGTCCTGCAAACTCATCCTTAGCTTGGGAGATGGTTGTGGTGTCAACCTTTGCCTAACACCAGATGACCCTGTAGATGACCTCTGGGCAGTGCCTGCTCCAGTGGGAACCTCTGCTGTTCTCTGAGCCCTTCTCAGCACAACCTTTTGTTTGGAGCCCGGTGGACACTCCCAAGCTCCTCTTCCCAAGCCTCTCCTCAGCCAGTGCTGTAGTTTCTTTGGTCTGCTGAGCTTTCTGTGATCTCTGAGTCAGGCAGGATGCAACAGAAGAGAAATCAGCCTAATAAGGGGATTATCTTGGCATCTGGCTCCATTCACAGCAAAGCCCACAGACAATGGCTGTTTCCAGCAGTGGGTTGGGATGAATGTCTGCAGACACAGGGGCGTTGCCAAACTGGCCCAGTGTCCCCATGTCCCTGTCCCTGGTGGTGGCCGCAGTGGGGAGTGTGGGAGGGGAGTATGAAGCTTTGAGCAATTAGGCAGGGCTGTCTCCTGGGGAGGTTCCTTTGGTCCTTGCTGGGGGCTGCCTCAAAGCCCAGGATTAGCTGGGCTTTTCCTGCCCTCTCTCCCTGCAGATGTTGCATTTATGGACGGATCTCTGCTCCACGTTCTCCAGAGCTGAGACACGGCATCTCCCTTGGCTCTTCTTTCAGGGCAGGGGGTATGACAGTCCCTCCTCTACTGGAATCCCCCCTTTGTTGGACCCCATCTTTCCAGGTTTCATGGCAGGCTGCAGCAGGGCAGCCCAAAATCCCGCTGAGAGATGTCACACCCCCTCAGGTAGGAACACGGGAGGAGCCCCAGCCCTGGCGAAGAGCCCCTGGAGACTCCTCTGTACCCTGGGTAACTCGTTCTACTGAGGCTTTGGCTTCACCAATTGTTAATCCCAAGCTGTCTCCAAAGCCAGTTTTCATTGGGAAGGCATTAACAACGTTGGGTAAGAACGAGTTTCCAAGTGAGGTCACCGGTGGAGGCAGGGACCTCTCTGGATTATGAAGCCTGACTTCAAAGGCTTCTCCCCTCCTTTTAAGGTTGAAAGGACTTATTTTATGAATAGGTCATACCTGGTTTTAATTAGCTTGTTTTTGTGTTTGGGATGTCTTATTAACAACTCGGTCACATGTGCTTTTATTTTTTCCCACCCTTGCAGAATTACCAGGAAGGGAGGTGGAGGTACCTCTGCTTCCTCATAGCAAAGCCTTCGACTCATTTGCAGACGACTGCAAAAATGATTAAGCATTGAGAAAGCCAGGAGAAGCAATCATGAAATATCTTGTCCAGGGATGAATCTTCCAGCTGGGCTGTGGGGAAGGGTTGCTGGAGAAGCAGGAAGTCACAGGGGAGAGAAATCTTCCTGGCTGGCACTGACGTGACAAGTGATGGATCCCTCCAAGGGACGTGAGGAGCTCTGGAAGACACCAAGGATGCTTGGCTGGCACTGTGCTAGGGAGGCTTAAAATATTTTGTGTTCCCACTTCAGGTTGTGATGTGAGGAGGTGGCTGAGGGCCCTTGGTTGAGGCTTTTCTGCCTCATGTCACTGAAGCTTTGCACTGTGTGAATGGTTTAGGTGTCCTTTTGTAGGGTTCTTGGTGGTATCAAGCTGTGGTTGGATTGCATTTGTGAAGGAAAGGCATCAAGGAGCCACTGGTAGAGGTTATAGCATGGTTGCCCATTAGTTAGTTCCTCTTCAAGAGGTCATTCCAGGGCTGAATTCCCTCTTGGTGCTCGCAGGGACTCTCCCATACACATGGCCAATCCCAGGTGCAGCTGAGGACATGTAGTACCTCCCTTGGGAATGCCAGGCATGACTGTGGTGTAAAGCCTGGTTCAGATGTCATGGAAGAGTCCCTGAGTTAGGATCCTCAAGATCGTGGTGTAAGTGCCCTTCTGGTTGGTTTGACTTGATTTAACCAAGGTTATGCCTAATGCTGTGGGCTGACCTGCTGGGGAATGGCTTCTGTGCTGTGCTGAAGCTGGACATGGGCTCACCTACTGGGTTTTGGGCTGACGGAGCCAACACACACCTTGGCTTTTGCATTGCATGATGCAGCACAGCCCCTTTCCATTGCTGGAGGATGGTCCTCAGCTCCTGTGTGGGAGCATCCCAGAGCAGTGCTGGGAGGAGGGAGGGCAGAGTTGGGGCAAGGAGGTGTGATATGGGAAATTACACCAGTCCTACACCTTACTAATCCCAAGAGACTGCTCCTGCATGATTGGGCAAGACAGCCCTGCTGCTGGGGGATGGTTTTCGGGAGGTGTGTGAAGAGAGATGTCAAATCAGAGCTGATGTCTTGGCTGTGGGAACCCATCACGGCCCCGGGCAAGGGTGTGGAGTCGGCTTGTCTTGCCTTTTCCTGCCCCTTCTGGCCTCATTCCCTTCTCCAAACAAGGTTTTTGTGAAGATGCCCCAGCTGAGCGTGGGGATGGCTGAGCTCAGCTCTGGGTGGAGACGTGGTGGTGGCACTGCCACTGTGCCTGGTCCTGTCCTACCACGGCATCGCTGCTTTTGTTGGAGGAGCTGCCCCAGCTCCGAGTCTCTGCTTTACATCTCATTTCCCCCAAACCATGACAACCCCCACGTGTGTACAGTGACGGCTGGAGCTGCCTGCTCTGCTCCTCTGGGGCTGTGACACCCACCTGCAGCAGTGACAGGGCCACCCACCTGGGACCCTCGGCTTCAGGAGTGTCCTCCTGGAATGTGCCGTGTGATGTCAGAGAAGGCTCCGTGGACACCTCATTGTGGCCTTCCAGTACTTAAAGGGGCTTATAAAAAAGAGGGAGAGTGACTTTTTATGTGGGCAGATAGTGACGGGATCGGGGGGAATGGTTTTAAATTAAAAGAGGAGCGTTTGGATATTAGGGAGAAATTTTCCCTCTGAGGGTGGTGAGACCTGGCACAGGTTTCCCAGAGAAGCTGTGGCTGCCCCATCCCTGGAAGTGTCCAAGGCCAGGTTGGATGGGACAGGGGAAGGTGTCCCTGCCCGTGGCAGGGGTTTGGAATGAGATGAGCTCTAATGTCCCTTCCAGCCCACACCATTCCAGGGTTCTGTGTCCTCCCTGAACCCACAGAGCTGTTTCCCTGCTGTGCTGCTCTTGCAACAGCCCTTGGATGGTGGATGTCACCTGTCCCAGACCTCCTGTTCCTTCTTTCACTCACAGACAGACCTGTACTCGGGGGCCCTCTTCGTGCAAGTGTGCCTGGGCTGGGACCTCTACCTCTCCACTGTGCTCATGCTGGTGGTCACGGGGCTCTACACCATCGCAGGTAGGTCGCTCATCATCCACTGGCCTCAATTTTTCTGCTTCTTTTATTGAGCCACACCACTTACCCTCCTGCTTTTATTTTACTATTGTTATTTTTGGAAGGTTCCCTGGGGTTTATACCGGTGGGGTTCACATCCCTGCCCCAGCCAGCCAGTGTCTGAGCAGCCTCCTGGAGAGTCAGCTCAGGTGATGACTCAGCCCGTGACCTCTCCTTTGTCTTTACATCTTTTCATTTGTAATAACTCCTCCCCCACCGTGTACTTAAGCACTTTCTTGTGTGTGTGCACCTGTTTGTAACAGCAATAATCAGGGCTTCTCCTATTACAGGACTATTATTATGGAATCTACAACCAGAGAGCCCTTGACCCAACTCCTTTCCCTCCCTCTTGCCCTGCCCTCAGTGCAACCTGCTGCCCTCTCTCCACTAAGCTTTCAGGAATATTTCTTGCCCGTGCTTCCCTGTTGTGGGACCAGCTATTTTTGTGCAGGGTCAACAAATAATGTTTCTTCTGTGATCCAGAGGTGATGAGGGTTTGGAGGTGGAGTTGGAAATCGTGGGTTCCTGGCTCCCAGCCCCACTCAGACCGTGGGACTGTGCATCCCTGCCAGCCCTTTGGGTTATTATGTTTGCTGGGACATTCCCTCCCCTGGTAGTGGCGGTGGAGACACCCGGCAGTAAATTCCCTCGTTATCTCACCCCGGCCATCAAAAGGGGAAATGGTTTAAGTGTATCCATAACAGGGTGGATTTTGCAAGACTTTGGTTTTAAGCAAATCCCATCTCGGGTTTTTCCTGCCCACAAGGCTTGTTGTGATGTGAGGCACCTCGGTGTGAGCTCAGGCAGGTGTGATCATTGCATCACCTTGATCCTGAGAACATCGCTCCAAATCCCAGGCAAGGCCAGGGATGGTGCAGCCCTGAATTCCCGGGATGTGATTCAGTGACTGGGGTTGAAACTGATTCAATTTTTGACCCATCTTCCTTAGCTCTGCTACTTTTTAATGCTTTTGCTCATGTGCTGAGTGATTGACTTCTGGCTGAGTAAGCAGGTGCTGGGTTTGCAGCAGGTCTGGAGGGAGAGCTTGGGATGGGAAGGGAGAAATGCTCCTGGCTGTATGTCCAAGGGGACCCCACTAAGCACCATGTGCTGGAAAAATAAAGCTAGGGTTTGGAGGAGAGCTGAGGGTGTACAAAGGGGAAACCTGGTGTTAGGCAGAGGTTGGTGAATGATGAGATCAATGTCCTGAGTCTGATCTGCTGCTGGAGCACCCAAAGAGCCAGGGCTGGGGCTGGCTGGCATCCTCCTGACTGTGTGGAGATGTGGGGCTGCATCCCTCCTGCCATCCCTTGGCTCCTCTTCCCTGCCTGCCCAGCAATCCCTTGGATCCCCTCCCTGTCCCCGGTGAGGCTGCAGCCCCTGTGGCTTTTGGCTGCTCCCCCCACCCCACCTTTGGGGGTGCTGTGCCCCCCTCGACACCAGAGCCACCAAGGAGCTCTTCCCCCTTCCTGCTGCAGCCCCCCCCCCGCGTCAGCAGGTTGAGGCTGGCGACAGGTACATCCCCATGGGAAGCTTTATTGGGACGTTCTGAATATTCCAAGCCGGAATCCGGCAGTATTCCCGACCTCCTGCCTTGCTGTCGTGCAGGGGGGCTGGCGGCCGTCATCTACACCGACGTGCTGCAGACGCTCATCATGGTCCTGGGAGCCGTCGTGCTGGCAGTGAGAGGTAAGAGCTGCTCCAGGGGGACCTTCCCTCCTCACTCAGGTGGTCGTGGAGGTAAATAAAAACACTCAGTCTGAGCCATTTGTTGGCCAAGATGCCCAGCAGGACTTCGGTCCGTGGCAATCACCTAAATGTGGTGCCCCTGTGTCCCCCCCTGCTTCCCCTGTGTGCCATTCCCGCAGGTGCAGATGCCGTGGAGCATCTCCCTGGTGCTCCACGTGGGACTGTCCCCAGCAGTGGTGACATTCCTGTGGACGTGATTGCTCCACATTTGCCTCTCGCTCTGAGAGACTGATCAAGTATTTGACAGCGAAGCAGCATTCCCGGTTCTGCTCCGGGTGTTTTTGTTCAGACAGGATCCCGCTGCCTGGGGACGTGCACAGCAGAAGGTTGGTACTGGAACAAGGCACGGCTGCAGGGGTGGGATGTGGAGCATGGTGTCATGCCCTGCTCTGGGTTGGAGTGATTATAGTTCATCACCAGCCCTTCCTGAACCCCCAGCACTGTTGTGTCTCCCTAAATTCAGCCTCAGAGCATCCTTGCGAGGACGGGAGCTTTCATCAGCCTGGCTCTGCCATCGGGGCTCTTGGCCCCGAGGAGCAGGAAGCAAAAAGTTAAGTCCCAGCTTCAAAGGCAGGTGTTTAACTACAGAGGATGATTTCCAGAGGCACTCCTGAGATGATTTCCACCATCTCCTGGAGAAGGCAGCTTAGGCAGGCAGGTAGGAAAGGCTTTGACCCAGAGCTGTGGAGGTGGGAGCAGCCCCAGAGCTGTGACCCAGCCCGGTCCCGCGGCTGCTCCCCTGTGCCAGAGCAGAGTTCGCTCCTGGGCGAGCCCTTGGACACAGCAAGGTGTATTTACAAGAAACAAATGAAAGGACAGAGACTTCCTGGAGAAGGGACAACAACAATTAACTCCCCCAGCAGCGGCACGGAGCTGCTGCAGGCAGAGGAGCTCATTGCCTGTCGAGGCAGAACAGAGCAGTGGCTGCAGCCTGTGCCTTAGACGTGGTGCCTGGATGTTGTGGATCGTTGTCTGGAGCTGTCCTTGGCCGTGGGGCTCTCTGAGGCTTGTCTCTGCCAGGTTTGGCTGGTGCAGCTGCACAGAGCCAGAGGAGGAGGGCAGGTAGGCAAAGCCTGGAAATTCCCCTCCGGCAGCGGCAGAGCCCGGCTTGTTTTGGCTTTGCTGCCTGCAAGCGTGGCACGGTGTGTGCAGGGGGGTGAGGGGGCTTGGCAGAGGGACTGAGCCAGGGGAGCCAGAAGACAAGCTGCTGGTTGCACAGGTTTTTCCTCAGGTCTCAGGAGACCTCAGGACCTGGAGGTGGGTGTGCCCCAAAGGTGTTTGGTTTTCTCCAGCTCCTGTAAAGCTCAGCTTATAAAGGATACCTTCAATAGAGTCATGGAATGGTTTGGGCTGGAAGGGACTTAAAGCTCATCTTATTCCATCCCCTGCCATGGGCAGGAACACCTTCCACTAGATCAGGTTGCTCCAAGCCCTGCCCAACCTGGCCTAGGACACTTGCAGGGATGGGACAGCCACAGCTTCTCTGGACAACCTGTGCCAGGGCCTCCCCACCCTCACAGGGAAGAATTTTTTCATTTTGCTGAACAGAAACCTTGGCAGTGCCATTGGTGACTCTGCTTAGCTCTGGCAGACTGTGCCATCCTGCCATTCAGCACGGGAATGTTAATCCCAGCAGAGCCCATGGGCTGCATCCTGGCATCTGCAGGCTGAGCTCCCGCTGCCTGGAGGATTTTGCTCCGCTCTTCCTTCTTGGCAGGCGTGGGTGCCGTGACTTGCTGGTGAGCACCTTTGGGAAGGGAGCAGGCTCTCACCCCCAGGCACCAATCTCTGCTTTCAGTGCTCGGCCTCTGCCTCTGGAGAGCCTTTGTTGGTGCCCAACGCCCATGCAAAGCTTGGGAGTAGCCGGCGCCTGGATAAACCAAGCGCTGGAGGGGGGCCAGGGCTGCTTGTGCAAGAGCAGGAGGAGTTCACAAATGCTGACTCCCTGTGAAACTCGGGAGGACGGATTGCAAGGGGGGGGGACACGGTGGGTGATGCCCCTTTGCCAGCTCCCCAAAAACCTCAGGTCAGGGGGCTGCCCTGGGATGAGGACAGGGCTGAAGGTTGGTCATAGAAATGAGAGGACTGGAGAGGCAGGGCTGTCTTCTGGCAGGAGGGGACAATGGAGCAGGATGGGTGGTTTGGAAATTGGGATTTGTTCAAGCTGGCATTTGATGGTGATCCCAGTGCCCAGCACCTGATGCCTGAGGGATTTGGTCTAAAGACAACAGGGCTCGTGGACACGGTCCTGTGGGAGGGAAACTGCTCAGGAGCACATTCCCACCTTCTTCTGCTGCGCTGGAGGGGCCCAAGCTGAGGGTCTGAACTGTAGGGGCAGAAGGGATACAGGATGTGACAGATGGACCAGACTTGGAGAAACCCAGCGAGGGATGCTCGCGGGTCGTGCTTGGAGTCTCCTCCCCTCCATGAAACCTCTGGAGCCTCCTCTCTGCTCCTGAGCACCAGCAGCTGCCGTGGGTATGGGGGTGCCAGTGCCCCTCCCTGCCCGTCTCCCCCAGGCTGCTGTGTGGGTGGCCGTGGTGTGTGGGGGGAGTGGGGCGGGTGCCTCCCCTCCCACCCTCCTCCAAAAAGTGATGCCTCTGGCTCCAGAATTCTCCCACTGGAGGTCCTGGGGGAGCTGCATTCATTCTGTGCCCCCCAGGAGCAGGGAGGTGGTGGGGGGCCAGGGCAGAGCCCAGGGCTGGTTGGCAGCGGCTGCAGGCAGGAGGAGCACGGGGCATCTGCCAAGGGCTTGGAGGCTCACTTGCTAGGGCTTGTTCATGGCACATACTCCTCATCAAGGCTCAGGCTCAGACCTTGGATCCCATTTCCCAGGAAAAATGCAGTGAAAAGGGTCTTTTTTTTCTTTTTCTTTTTTTTTTTTTTACTGGTTTCTGGAGGTTTGGGGGTGGGGGCACATGGGGGATGCTGGGGAAATGCTCAGGGGAGTACAAAATGTTTGGCTGGACACTTGTGCCAAGGCACCTTGAGCTGCAGTTTATCGAGTCGAAGGCCACCTAATCTTGCATTTCAATAGTCCTGGGCGAAGTTCCCCTGCCCTGGGACCAGGGAGCTTTAATGAACAGGTTGCTTTTACAGTACAAGGTTAAAAGAGGTGGGTCCCTTGAGGAGCCTTTGTCCCAGGACTCGGGTCACCCTCCAAAGGGAGGGTGGGCTGCAATGGGACCTGCTGTGCAAAATGGTAATAGAAGAGTCTCTTAAATAACTAGAAGAAAACACGATCACGGACGAGCCCTCCCTCTCTGGGCAGCACTTCTGGGTTAACGAGCTGGTGAGTGCTCTGCCAGCTGATCTCACAGACCACTGGGTTTTACTGCACTCTGACCACCTCCCCCAATGGTGCTTTCCAGCTTTTAATGAGATCGGAGGTTACCCCAACCTGGAAGAGGCCTACGGAAAAGCGGTGCCGTCCAAGATCGTTCCCAACACTACCTGCCACCTGCCCAGAGCGGATGCCATGCACCTCTTCCGAGACCCGGTCTCCGGAGACCTGCCCTGGACCGGGATGACTTTTGGGCTGTCCATCATGGCCACGTGGTACTGGTGCACCGACCAGGTAAATGTAAACAAGGATCCCCTGCCCCGTGTAACACGGCGTGGCCTGGGCTCCAGGCAACGCTCCACCACCGCTCTCGCCCTGCGGGGACCACCTTCACCAGCCCCTAGTGCTCCTTCTGGCCCGTGCTCTCAGGGGGCTGCTTTTTGGAGTCCACAGAAGCACCCGGGGCTCCCGCCACCCTGTTCTTGAGGTGCTTGGACTGGGACAGTTTGGAGAGCGGGATGCCGAGGGGTGTCCTCATCTCCTCGGTTGGCTTCTGGCTCTCGGGCAGGGAGGTGAAGCGTTTGCCCGACGCCCTGGGGTTGCTCGGAGAGAGGTGGCCGGGTGCCGTGGGCTTGCTGGGGCTGAAGGCTTTGCTCTGCCAGTAGGGCTGGCTGCCTGCAATGGTCTTTTTGGGTTCTGCTCCATCCCCTCTGTACTTGGGGGCCCCGAGGGGTTTCTCGTGCGTCGGGGAGCAGGAGACCTCCTTGCCCTGCTCTCTGCCCGCGGGGGTCCTGGGTCGGTAGCGGTAGATGTGCGTCCCCTGTTCGTGACAGAGCAGAGAGAGAGGTGAGCTGTGGCTGTTGTGAGGATGCTGCTCCCTGAAAGAACACCTCTGTGGCACGGGCTTGGTCCTCATGGACAAATCCCTCTGGCACTTGGTGTAGTCCCTTGCCCAAATTTTTCTGAGACTGGTGGCAGTTCAAAACTACCTCAAGTCTTAACCGTGGCTGCTGCTCTGATTTCTTACTGTGATAACACATAGTCCTGCACATGCAGTGCTTCAGCAGCCACTTCCCAAGCAGCCTGGAGGCTGTCCCGAGCCAAGTCCCTGCTGCCTGGAGATCCAGGATAAGGCATCTCAACACCTTCTCTCCAGCAGCAGCCTCAAAACCTGTCTTAATCATCTAAGCCCTCATATCAGGCACAAAGAGTACCCAGTCATCCAGACCTGAGCTGTGGGATTAGGTGACTGCCAAGATCAGATGAAAGGATGGAGGGCTGGGGGAGGAGGTGGGATGAGGAGACAACAGTGAGCTGCAACAGCACTGCGGGGGTGGCTCTGATTAGCTTGGTTGAGACACACGTTTGGATCAGGTCTGAGCACCACTAATCTTAATTCTGGACTGGGTAAGGCTGTAACACATGGCTGTGGTCACCAGATAGTGATCTCCTCTTTGGGTGTGACTGCAGATGCACCAGGTGAGATGAGATCTGGTGAGTGCAGGTGCTGATGGCAGGACGAGCTGGGGCCAGGAGGCTGCAGAGCTGGCTGTGCCAACCTGCCCAGCCTCTGCCATGACCCTCGCTGTGCTGCCAGTGCCACATCTCCACCGAGCTGTTGGCATCAGCTCGGGGTTCAGCCAGTTAGTCCCAGTATCCCAAAGGCCTCTTTGGTCCTGGAGCAGGCACCTCCTGTGCTGACCATGAGGGCTGTGTTAAAGCAGTTTACCTTAGGTGGTTCTGGATTGATTTTATGAGATGCTTAAAATCAGTGTTAAGGTCTGAGATGGCTTCAGGTGGGAAGGACTAAGGGTGATTTAGCTCCTCTCCCTCTGAGCTCATCATGTACCTGACGTGGTGCACAAAGTGCCTGAGCTTGGGTGGTGGGTCCTGCAGCTTCTGACGTGCTCTGGTTCTTGGAAAGAAGTTAAACCATGGCTTCCCCAAGTATCCTACTCTAGGATTTGGCACTCCATCCCTCCTGTCCACTGGGGGAATGAGTCAGTTCTTGCTCAGGAGTGGCTGAATCCTGCTGGGTGCTGAGCATTCTCTATAAACCTTTGTGGAGACCCTGAGCTCTTTTAAATCAGCAATTCCTACAGATGTTGCCTATTTAAGAGGCATTGCCTCAAAACCCCAGGGCTGGCTGTGTTGTGGATGGATATGGCTTGGCCAGAGCTTTGAGGTGTGATGGTCTGAGCAGTGGAGTTGTGGGAGGAGGAGGCTGGACTCGGTTTCCTTGTCACTGTGGGCACTCTTTGGGGAGAAGATTGAATAGAAGGGGCAAGAGTGGGGAGAACAGTGGTGGGGAATGGTTGATACTGTCAGGAGGACGTGCTCCTGTGGTGTAACACCAGCCCGTTACTGGTCTGGAGAGAAACCTCGCTGTGGGCTGAGAACACATCTATGCTGCTTTTGGGAGCTGTGCTTGGGCCCTGTGCCCAGTGGCTCCAACATTTGGGATGCAGTTTGGCAAGGAGGAGGCTGCTGTGGTGTTGGTGCTGCTCACCCCTCCTGCCTGGCCCTCCGCAGGTCATTGTCCAGCGCTCGCTCTCTGCGAAGAGCCTGAGCCACGCCAAGGCCGGCTCCATCCTGGCCAGCTACCTGAAGATGCTGCCCCTGTTTGTCATCATCATGCCAGGGATGATCAGCAGGGTCCTGTACCCAGGTAAGGGCTCCCCACACAGCTGTGGAGCTGGTGGGATGGGGATTTTCCTTATCACTAAGGGATGAGTGGGAGGGGGTTTGTCTGGAAACCCCTGCTCTGCACAGACCTGGGGGCTCTGCGGGTGGGAGAGGGGCAGGAGAAGACACGGGTGTCCCCAGTGCCCTCCTTGAGCCTGCTGTGCACCCAGGTGAGAATGGGGTTGTGTATTTAGGGAAGGTGATGTTCCAGGGAAAACTTGGGTGCCATGTTCTCCATGGAATGGAAAACATGGTGTTTGCCCTGAGTGAGCCCCCACCCGTGGTTTGGGCTATGCTGGGCCATGGGCCAGCACATGAGAAATGTGGACCCCAGAAAAAGATGTTTGTGGGGGTTGATGGTGATTCCTGCTGGATTCAGGTTTTCTAGAGTTAGTCAAGGGTTGCTTTGGTTTACTGTTTTTACATATGGGAGAAACTCTTCCCTGCACATCTCCACCAGCTGAGCGCTGGCTTTCCTAACCCTGATGCTGTGTTAATTATCTGCCTCTCATCAAAGGGCCAGAACAAGTTACTGCAGGAACACCAGCGTACCCGGCCACCCCGAGCAGGGTGGCACCTGGGACCTGGGTCACAGCATCAAAGGGCTCTGTGCTCCTTGCCCTGCAGGACCAGGGGGTATTTGATGTGTGAGGATTAAAGCTCTCAGCTCCCTGTCGCTGGCTGGGAAGGGAGAAGCAAGTGGACTCTGGGATAGTAAACTTAATTCCCTGTAAATACAGATTAGATGCTCAGCCAGGGTACCCTCAGGCAGTTTCAGTGACTTCAGCTGCTGATTTAGCCCTGGGGGTTTGAATGCCCCAAAAACAGCGGGCGGGGAGCCTTGAGAAACCAAAATGCTTGGCAGTGGTGCAAGAGGCTGCAGCGCTTGGGTGCAAACAGGGGATTGCCCCTGTGATCCCCCTGCCTGGAGAGGGTGATGCTCCGGCCCTGGTGGGGATGCTGCTGTGCACCCCGTGCTCCAGCAGCGGGATTCAGGCACGCACCCCATGGAATTGCAGCACCCGTGCGGTGACAGGGTCTGGCGTCACCGCTGGATCAGCCACAAAGCTGCTGACTGTGGCACTCGCCCACAGAGGTTGCCGTCCCTGTTTCTCCGCTGTCTTGCTCTGCCTAATTATGTGTCCGAGCGCTTCTCCTTTGATGCTAATCGCCCTGGCAAGGTGCTGGAAAACAAGCCTGAGAAGGACACACCTGCACGCACAGTCTGTCCCTGGCTGGGCACGGTGCCGCTGCTGCTGGGCTGTGGATGGGGCTCAGCGAGTCCAGGCACATCTGTACAGCTGTGCCCGGAGCCACTCGGCTCCATCCCCAGCCCAACGCTGTGGGACAATCTTTAATTTCCAAAAGCCTCCCCTCTACCAGCCGTTCCCATTGCTAGACACCAAGACCCGTGGCATGGCCACCACCTTTCCAACCAGGAGAACCTCTTGGGTAACTCCTACCAATGCCACGTGTAGGGTGTTATTCTATATGGGAAGTCTTATCTCGGCATCTGGGACCTGACACCAAAGCTCGGGATGACACCACGCCTCGGCTGAGCTGGCTGGGTCACCTCTGGGTTTGCAACCTCTGTAGGGTGGAGAAACATAAGGTCATAGCAAAAAGTCCTACCTGGGTGGCACTGCTGGGGTAGGAGCTGTTGCCATCCAGGATGGTGCGGGGCAGCACACGCCTGATCTCCACGGCGTTGCTCCTCCTCTTCGTCACGTCCTCCACGCGGACGTGCTTCAGGGACGGGAGGCTGCCCAGGGGGCTGACGAAGGTGCCCCGGCTGATGTGGGGGTCACTGAGCTTCCTCTGCATGGGAAGGATCTCCCCGTTGTGGGTGACGTCTGAGTTGGTTCTCCGGAGCGGCCCGTAGCGATCCCTCACCTCGAAGTACTCGTCTGAGATGGAGGAGGCGTTGGAGCGGCGGTAGCTGTGGTCAGCAGAGCTGCTGGAGTAACTCTCCTGGTCACTGAGAGTGATGTACTCCTCTTCCTCCTCCTCCTCCTCTTCTCCCAGCCCGTTGTGGGAGCAGGGAGGCCCTTTGTCCTCTTGTGGCCCTGCCACAGGCCGGTCTGGCTGGAGGTGGCAGGTCTCCGTGGAAGCTCCGTTGGGTTTCTCCTCCCGCTCCTGCTTCACACCCTTATGGTCGGCCAGCAGTGGTTGTGTGTCACCCTCCAGGGCAGTGCTGCTGTCACAGGTTGTAATGACTTTGGTCACAAGGACACCAACGGGGACGGTCCTTGGCTTTGGAACTGGTGGTTTGATGGTCTCCAGTGTCTCCTCCTGTGGCTTCAAGTGGTGGCCCAACGGTGAAGAGGCAAATGTTCCTGCTTGCTTCGTTGTCCAGCTGATGCCTTCCATGTGGCTGGCAGTGGGCGCTGTAGGGGCTTCCATGGGGGGCTGTGGGATCTGTCTTTGGCAGGGGGACAGCAGAGGTGGCTCTTGCTCTGAGTTTTTCTTGGCCTCCATCTCCCTGTTCTTCAGCATCTGCCGGTGCTGGGCGCTGGCCTGGGAGACGTCGCAGACTTTGATGCGGTTCATCTGCGAGAGCTTCACGTTCTTGATCTTGGGGTCAATGATGTTGATGTAGCCCAGGACTTCGCTCCCGGGCTCGGGGTCAGGCTCCACCCAGGTGGGCAGATAGTCAAACATGTTGGCTTTCTCCAGATTCAGGAGGCCGGGGTGGATGAGCAGGGACAGGTCTCCCATGTCCCCGTGCCGGTCACCCCCCGGGCCCTCGGGCACGGCTTTGCCTTTGTTGTCTGCCTTCTGGTTCTTGTCCTGGTTCTCAGATGAAGTCTTGCTGATCTGGTCAGCGCTCTTGGCCTTCACCAGGGCATATTTAGGGTTTATCAGCTTCTTCACCACGGCGTTGGCGGGGGTCACCGGCACGACCGAGGGCAGCGTTACGGGCTCGGGTTCGGGCTCTTCACCCATGGAGATGGACTTGAGGCTCACCCCCTTGGACATGAGGTAGAGCTCCTGGAACTGCTTGTCAAACGCCTCCACCACTTGGCCCGAGAGGACTGTGATGACGTTTCGGTCCGTCCTCGCCGCAGACCAGGTGAAGCTGGAACAGAAACATGTTGGAAACTCTCTGAGCACTCACTGGAAAATAACACTCCTCTCCCCAACCCTGGCATTCCCTGGGGGATTGATGGTGCCAGCAGGGACATCTCATTGTAAACATCAATAATAATAATAATAGGATTGATGAAATAGCTCTCATCACAAATTAGAGTGAAGGGCTGAAGTCTTGAGCACAGTGGACTTGAAGTAAAAGGTATTTGCACTGTGTCAGTTAGTTTTTCACTTTAGTGTTGGCTGCTTTTCCTTTCTCAGATCGGGTTAGTTAAGAAAAGCAAGTCATAAATTTGTTGTAGCCAGAAAGTAGGAAATGTTTCAGCTCCGTGTTTATAAAACTTATCTTTTAGAGCTCAGAAGCTGACTGGGGGTGATCTGTTTCTACCAAAGTAAGTTTTCATTTGGACAACCTGGAAAATACTTTGTGTAGGAAATGTTTAACTGGAAAAGCTGAGGTTACTGTGAGAGTTGGGACTGGCTGTGGTGTGGTTTGGTGCTTTGGTCCTTCCTTGTGCTTATTGCATCAAGTGGCAGAAACAATTGGTGTGTCCCACCACCTCTGAGAATGGCAGGTGCCCTCGACCTGTTTGTTTTGGGAGGTGGTGGGGACTCCTTGGGGCCCATTCCAAATCTCCTTGCAAAGTCATCTCCCAGTTTAGGAGCAGGGCAGCAAGTCTGGGAGGGAGGTCTGGGGCCATGCTGGGCGGGGACCAGGATTTAGGCCATGTGGGTTTGTGACGATCCTTTGACCAACACCTCCATGGGAGGGGGCAAAAGGGCAGGAGGAGAGTGCTGATTACCTGTAGGATCCACACATGGCTCGATCCCCATCCACAAACATGAACTTCTGGGCCAAAGCCCCTTTGAACTTGGTGGCCGAGCGCGTGAAGAACTCCGTCCCCCCGGTGCTGCGGACGCGCAGGTTCTGCAGAGCAAAGGCAGAGGCGTGAGCAGGAGCAAAGGGCTGCTCTGAGAGCATCATCCACCCCTCCATCAACACCCCCCCGGATGCTCCACAGCCCCTCTGAGGAACAGAACGCTCTTCATGGCTGGCTCAGAGGAGGCCACAGCGATGGGGAGATAAAATAACTCGCCCAAGGCCACGCGGTGAACTCTGGACTCAGCCCGGAGAATTTCCTGCTTTGCCCACGTGCTGGGCAGTGTTTTCCACCTCTTGAACTCTGTGCTGCCTGTGTCTGTGGGTGAGCAGTGTGTGATGGTGCTGCCAAGCACTCTCCATCCCCTGTGATCTATGGAAATGCCACCCTGGGAGAGGAGATCCCACTCCTCCTCCCCAGCAGGAGATGTACAAGGGCTTTAGGGGGAGGTGGTGACCCCAGGACAGCACACATGGACCTGGTGGCAGTGGGTTTGCTGTCCACCACACTCCCCCTTTTCTGTGCTCCCAAAATCTGAGTGTTTAGTCCTGCTTTTAGGGGTGAGTTGGGGGGGGAAAAGGCAGTGGGGCAACATCTTTTTACCCCCAGTAAGTGAAACCTGGTGATGCAGGAGCAGGTTCCTATGGAGGGAGTGGGGTGTCCTCCCCAAGGGAGCCCAGGGATGGAGGGGGAGCTCTGTCTCTGTCAAAATACTTTTCTTTCTCCAATCTGGCTTCTGGCTCCAGCGTCTCTGTGGAGGGCACTGGCACATTCCAAAGTCACCAGATAGCATCTTCCACAGCAAAAGGGCTCCCTTGGGTGGGGAGCAAATATTTTCTTGTGAAAGCATCTGCATTCCTCCTGTTCCTGCCGGGATGTTGGTCATGCCATTGCTAAAAGCTCAGTGTTATCACTGGGTCATGCCCTCCATGGCTGTTTTTGTGTGCTTTTCGTTCTGTTTTTTTTTTTTTAAAGAAAAGCACCAAAAATATTGGTCTTCCCCTCCTCCAGCCTTTCTCATCTGCTTCTCTGGGCTCTCCTCTCTCCCTGTAGATCACAATCAGGAACAGCCCAGGGGCTTCCCTGGTCCCCACTCCCCCGTGCCTGGCAGGAGGGACAATGACTCAGCATTGATTTTAGCATGATGTGAAAAGAAAGGCTTTTCTGACCGTGTTTCCAGGGAAGATTCACACACTGAGCAGAGAAGTTTGTGGGGTTTTTTGTTGCATTTGGTTTTTTTTCTTAACGTTTGCCTTTTTGCCTGGCGTGTCTGGGGGGACATCTCAGTTTCCGTGGGTGTGCAGCAGCACTGGTGGTGCTGGGGGCTGGCTGGAAAGCAGGAATTCTCATCCCTGTCTTGTGTTATCCCTACACATGGTGCTGCTGAGATTGGTAGTGCCCAGGGTGCACAAACTTTACACCCAAGGCTTTGCTCTCTGGTGTGTCTGGTGTGCCTGGGTGTCGATCCCTCCCTCTTGGAGCCAACTCCATGCCCAAACTCAGGGAGCAGCCGTGGGCTTTTCTCAGGTAACACCCAGGGATCAACCCTCCCTGGTGCCAGACCCCTTTCCTCCCAGCTCCTGGTGTATCTCTGCTTGTCTGGTCTGTGCCAAGGCGGGTGCCCTGTGGGATGGCCGGGTCCTGGGCTGGGTGAATCACTCCCCAGGCACTCGCCGTTGCTCAACGGAGCGACCTCCTTGCCCAAGCCAGTTACTAATTGCCAAGCAAAGGCACCGAGATAACAAGGAGGGATGTTTCGTTATCATCTCCGGGCTTAGGAAGCAGCTCCCAGACTCTGCCCTACTTTCCTCGCCGCCTCCTTGCCCTGCTGCCTCCCGTGCCAGCAAACCGGCTGCAGTGTGCGGCAAATCCCAACTTCCAGACATTTGCCGAGCTCTGCAGATGTTCTCCTGCTTTTCCAGTCCTGCCACCGGGCTGCTAATGTAGGAAAACACCGGAGTGTGTCAGCGCTGGCTTTTCTGGTCTCAGAGCGGCAGCAGCCTGCGGGATCCCAGACTCCAGGGAGTTTGGACGCGGGTAAAAGCTCGGCTGAGTTTGCTTTAATTGTTGGGAGCGGCAATTAAGCCGGGCTGGCGGGCACGGTGAGGCTTGGCCGGCCGGTGCTCTCGGCTCCCTGCGTGGGGGTCCCTGAGCCCCCAGCATGTCCCACCTCATTCCAGCCAGGTGCGAGGGTGTCGTGGCTCCGACGTGTTCCTGCTCAGCCGGGGGGTTCGCCCTCACCGTAAGCAAATCTGGGGAGCCTGCCCAGGCACGGGCCTTCCCAGCAGCCATTTGGCAGCCGTCGCGCGGCCCGGTGACGTCAGGAGCAGAAACATCACTTTTCTGCCAAGCAACGGGCGAGGCCGAGCGACTCATGGCTGGAGAGGGGTGTCTGCAGGCCCTGAGTGAGACTGCTGGGCTGCTCCGCTGTGTTTGCATCTGGTGCTGGCAAGGGGAGTGTTGTGGCCAGAGGAAAGCCTGGAACTCTGTGTCCTGTGGCTGGAACCTGGGACTTTGTCCTGTAGCTGGAGTGAGAGTCCCCACTCCGGGTGCTGCTCCTGAGGCTGATACACCCCCCCCCGCCCCTTCATCTTCCTCTGCCTTTGCACGAGAGCACCCTGATAGGTGATTTTTCTCTGCAACCCCTGCATGCACAGGGAGGTGAAAGGAGAATCCTAGAATCCCATAACTGTTTGGGTTGGAAGACACCTTAAAGCTCATCTCATTCCAACTCCCTGCTGTGGGCAGGGACACTTTCTACTACATCAAATTGCTCCAAGCCACGTCCAACCCAGCCTTTAGGTTTGGGGCACTTTGGGCTGGGGACCGACCCCTGTGCTGCCAGACATCCCACCCTTCTGCTTTGCCATCCCTGGTTTTACATGGGATTTGTGCACAGGAGCTATTCCATGTGCACCCACCAGCACTCCAGGGCTGGTGAGCACGGCGTGTGTGGGCAGATCAGTCCCACCAGTGTGTGCTGCCCCACAGTGAGGGCATCCTTGGCAGCTGCTGGGGCCGCAGGCAGCGTGGGTGCCTCCCTGCTCTGCTCCCGGCCCTGCGCTGGGGTGGAGGCTCCAGAAAAGGGGAAAATCAAGTTTGTTAATTCCAGCCTCTGGCTTGCGGGAGAGCTCGAAAGTGAGAGAACCGGCCGGCGGTTGCTCCTGCCGGTCCTGCCCCTGGGGCAGCCGCAGGAATGGGGCTGGCAGTGGCACAGATCCGGCCCTGGCATGGCATCTGCTGGTCCTGCCCTCTTGCCAGCTTGTTCCCTCAACCCACCAGGAGATGCTGAGCTCGCAGGTTTGCCATGAGCTTTGCAGTGCCCTGTGCGACCTGTGCCCGCTCTTGCGGGGCTGCATCTCCCCAGACATCCCTCTGCCCCAATTCCAGCACTGGCTGGGTACCAGCAGCCCCCTGGGATTTCTGCACTGAGCTTTGCTGGGTGGAAATCCACGTCCCTGTCTCTCATCCGTTCCCCTCCATCCTGCCGCTCCCAGATTAGGGCATCACCTTCAGCTTTGGCTACAGGAGAAATGGACTAAACTCATCTGGCACTGCCTGAATTTCAGGGGCTGTGATTCCCCAAGACAGGAGGGAGCAGAGTGGATAACTCTGGTTATGTCCCTGCATTGGAGAGGTTTCCCAGCTCGGACCCCTCGGACCATCCTCACCTTTAGGTGCCCGGTGTGCATGTGGGCTCGCTCGCACATCTGCAGGAAGTGCTTCACGTTGGTCTCATCCAAAATGATGTAGACCCCCACTTTCCTCTTGAAGCCTGCGTCCAGGAGGTCCTTGAAGATGTCTACATCAGTGAACATATCCATGACCACCGCGATGACCTGGAGAGGGGAGAGGAGAGATGAGTCTGGGCAGCAGGGCTGGGGACAACCCAAAGGTATGGTCGGTGCTTGTTTTGTGAGAGGCAAGGCAATGTCCTCTCTGTAGGAGGCTGGGATTCAACGTGGGGGAGCCCAGGATCCCTTCCAGCTCCTGCCAGCCCGAGGGCAGAAAGCAGGAGCCCCCAGTGCCATTCCTTTGCTGTCACTGTGGGAGGTTTGATCTCCACAAAATGTGTAGATGTGGCACTTGGGGACACGGTTTAGTGGTGAACACGGCAGTGCTGGGTTAGTGGTTGGGCTTGATGGTCTTACATGTTTTTTCCAACCTTAACGATCCTGTGATTCCAGTGGTGGCCCATAGCATGATATACTCAGGAAAAATTGGTTGCTGAGGGTGAATCCAACTTTCCTGCCTTTAACGAGCTCCACAAATTTCAGAATCCAGTTTCTGGCTGAGAAGTTTGGTGTCCCTTTGCTATCAGCATTGCAGGGAGCACCAGAAGGGGAGACCTCTGATTTAACGCTCATAGAATCATTAGGGTTGAAAAAAGACCTCTAGGTTCATTGAGTCCAACCATTAAATGATGGGTCTGTCTGTCCAAGGGCATGTTGTGTGGGGTGGTTGCTGCCTCTGGAGGTATCATACAGAATCACATGCTGGTGTTGAGAGAAACACTATAAAAAGCAGCTAAAAGTGACTTTAAGCTTGGTAGAGAGTATTGAGATACTTCTGAGGTGCTCTCAGGAGCTAAAGTGACTTTTAATCCCCTTTAAAACCAGATCTGAGTGTGAGCTGACGAGGTTCCTTAAGAGCAGCCAGGAGTTTGCAGCTCCCAGTTCCTGCACCCGGCTGTTCCAGAGGCTGCTGCTCTGGTCGGATCCAGAGTCAGCTCCACATGTGGGGTCAAGGCAGAGCACCAGGGCAGTGTTTGGGGCTCCTGACACCCCTCCTGGTCTCAGTGCCCAGCCTGGGGTGCTGCTCCAGCTGCACAACATCCCTCCTCCCTCCCGGGCTGTAAAGAGCGGAGCAGAGCCGGGATGGCCGTGCCAGCCATGCAGTGACAGCTGGGTTTGTCACACAGCAACCTCACTGACATTCCCAAGCTGGAGCTGCCTTTGTACCCAGGGCGTTTGCTGCCCTGGCACGGCCAGGATGAGTCTCACAGGTGATAGGAAAGTGGATCTGTGCTGCGCTGGGATGTCATGGAATGGCTGAGCACCAAAGGTCAATCTGTGCCCGTGGATTTGGACTTTCTGGAGGTGGCATTGCCCATGGCAGTGAGCAGCAGTGGTGGTGTGTGAGATATGGCAGGAAAAGGGGCTGGAGGCAGCTGCCTGCAGCCCAGCTGAGCATCCTGGGTCAGCCCCACAGGGATGGCTGTCTCCCCTCATCCCAGCAGCTTGTCATCAGGGTGCTGGCATGTCATTGTCCCATGGTTGGAAACATCTCAGTGCTCCCATCTCTGTGGCTGTTCCTGGAAGGTGCCCTGGGTTGGGAAGATGGGTGCTCTCAGCCCTTTGCTCTTCCAGGATGGCTCTGCTGGCAGTGGCACGAGGCTGAGCTGGGGGGGACACCAGCATGGGAGTGTGAGGTGACACAGAGAGACCCTGGGATACTCCTCCCTCAGGAAGGAAGGGATCGGGATGGTGCTGGGCACTTGCACAGTCAAACACGTCCAGTCTGGAGTACTCAAAGCACCAAGCTGCCTTTTAATTAGGTTTGTGCCACAGGACAACCTGGAGAGCTTTAATTAAGCAGAGGATGGCGCGTTATGACATTGCTGCCTCTTCCTTTTCTGCAGGCGATGGGGGTGAGGAGCGAGGCTGTGTGTGGAGCCCCAGCCCTGCTGTCTCTGATGCTGCCCTGGCCTCCCCAGCCCTGGCCACATATAAGTGTTTTGGGAAGTGCCAAGGGAGGACTTTATGGCTCTGCCACTGGATTTTAACTGAATTCCCATTTATCCTCACCCAAGAGCCTCTCACCAGGTTTTGCTGTGAAAGGCTAAATCCTCACTCCCTTGTGCATCTGCTCGTGTGTTTTGCTCGTCCTCATTGTCCCAGTGGGGAAACTGAGGCAGGAAACCGGGTGCCTGCTTTGCATGGATGTAAAGTGGGATGGGTTCAAAGCTGCTCTGGGAGCTCTGGGCTTGGATTTGCTGTGTACAGCAACTAACTGGGGAGGAGCTGTGCTGTCTGCTGCGAGTCCTGGGTGAGGGGCACCTGTGGTGGGATGGTGTGTGCCTGGTTTAAGAAGGTGGGTTTGGTGGCAGATGGTTTGCTTCTCTCTCTGACACCGCTGATCCAGGTGGCTGTGGTCATGTCACTCTGCCTGTGCCCTGTGTTTCCTCCAGAGGAAGCTGAGGGCTCATAAAATGGGGATGACAATAGCACTGACCTTTATTTTGGGAGGAAAAGAGCATTTTCTTACTGTGGCCCCAGCATTCCCAAGGCCTTGGCTTGCTGCTGTGGCTCTGAAGATGTGAAGGAGCTTTGTAGGGGTGCAAGCAGGGGATGATTACACCCCCCACGCCAAGCCCCGCTCCCACAGGGATGCTGAGTGGGCTGTGAACTGCAGGCAGTGGCCCAGGGTGGCTGGCTCTGGCACGGGGAGGTAGCCTGGCTCTTGCCCACATTTTCAACCCCATTCCTCCTGCTCAGCTGGTGCATCCTGTCACTGCTCAGCTCCCGCTTCCCTCCCCGCCACGTCTCGCCTGCAGGACAGGCTTGGCCTCGGTTTGTCTCCAGGATCTCACACCCGTGTGCCAACAGTGCCCTGGCATGGAGTGGGCTGGGAGAGCGAGGATGGTCCTGGCAGCGCTCCCCAGGTGGAGACTGTCTGAGGTGAAGTCTGCTGCTGGGCTGCCTGTGCTTGAACCAGGGCTGGGACTGGCTGGGTCTGTGCCAAACCCAGGCACGGGGGCAATCGGCAAAGGATGGAGGTCTGTCTGCTCCGGAGCAGGGAAATGCTCTGTGCTATTTGTGTTCCAGCTTGGGGAATGGGACTGTCCGTGCCATCCAGCTGTGGGAAGTGAGCTTGGCACTCTTATCCCTGTCACCTCTACCAGGGCAGCACTCCTTGCAAGGACATCTCCTTTCCCAAAGCCCCTTTGCCAAGGGCATCCCAGGAAGCTTTGCCATCCCTTTGCTGTTCATGTGGAAGATACAGAGGAAATCAGCCCCAAATCTACAGCTGGATGCTCCCCATGCCCACGAGGGTGATGCTTTTCTTCCCGGGGTCCCAGGAGCTGCCAGGATCCACTGGATACAGCAGATGTGCAGGTGCCAGGTCCCAAAACCACGAGGAGTGGTGAGCACAACATCCCCCCGGACACCGGGCAAACGCTGCTGGGATCCTTCTGAACAGCTTTGATGAGCACTGCAGGATCATGTTTTATAGAGGAAGTTGCAGCTCTTTATTAGCTCACTCTGAATCATCAGATAATGAGTTTTGGGGCACACCACGTGGGCATTTAATAAATTAGGCAGGCACCAAGGCACAATTAGAGGAAGCGTGTTGGGATGGAGGAGAGGTGGGACAAAGTAACATTAATAATTGCTCTCCCCTGTCGACCCTTTCATCCAGGAATGGAGGAAGGTTTTGTAAACAGTAATTAATAGGGCCTCCCAACCTTCACTGGAAGTTGCTCAGGGTAATTGTATCACCACAATCCCAACCTGGAACCTCAAGTGCAGAGAGGAGGTCAGAGTCGCTGCTCCCTCCGGTGGCTTTGGGCCAAGGTCAGTGTTTTCAGCCTGCTCTGGTTTCTGGTCAGACAGAGCCAAAATTTAGAGAAGAGGAGGGAAATCTGCCTTCCTGCCCATCACAGAATCATTTGAGGTTGGAAAAGATCATCGAGTCCAGCCTGTGCCCCATCCCCACCTTGTCCCCCAGCCCAGAGCACTGAGTGTCCTTCCTTGGACACCTCCAGGGATGGAGACTCCACCACCTCCCTGGACAGCCACTTCCACAGCCTGACAAGCCTTTCCATGAAGAAATTCTTCCTGATGTCCATCCTGTGAGCTTTGCAGACTGAGGGGATCTGCAGCAAGGAAGAGACGGCCATGCCGTGGCTGGACCTGGTGAAGGTCTCCAGGGTGAAGCCTGGTGGGTGCACCACATCCCTGACCACCTCTGTTTGTTGGCCACAAAGATGGGGATTTTCAGGGAGAGCAGGGATGTGGCCACAGGATCCTGCCTCTCTTCTCTCCCATTTATTCCCAGAAAGAGGAGAGGATCATTTGCATCTCCCTGCCCGGCACACCTGGGTTTGAGGCTCTGAACTCAGCAGCGCTTGGTCTCGTTCCTGCAAGCAACAGGGTTCATCTGCACCCTCAGAGCAGCCCCACATGCCAGCTCTCTGCTTCCTCACCCCAGCTCTGCCTGCACAATCTTCCCAGCACCAGCAGCTCTCACGTGGGCTCTGAACTTTCCTCGGCTGGGGCCTGTCAGGGGACTTTGATCTTCTGGCCACGGGACAGCAACTCCTGCGGTGGGGTTTGGGGTTCAGCACCTGGGAGCATTTCAGGCCAAGGATCTGAGACAATGTCAGGAGCAAGGGTCATCCCCTGGGATGCAACAGTGAACCTCTCCCAAGTCTGTGCCCCTTTGCAGGTGGATGAAGAGCACTGCTGGTGTCTGGAGGGATGGGACAATTTGGCAGGCATCTCCCCAGGGAAGACAGCGTGCATGGCCAGCCTATGTGACATCTGATGGGGTGGCAGCAGGACAGTCCTTCTGTCCACCCTCAGCTTCCTCAGCCAAACTCTTCCACCTCTGAGCTACTGTGAAGACCTTAAGCCTTGGCTAAAATCAGCAGGCAGAGAAGGGTGGTCTATCCCAGTGTCCCCACCCTTAGGAGCACCCACAAATGGTCACCCAGGCTCCGAAGCGTGACAGCACATTCAGCTGCAGTGACTGTGGTCCTTGAATACAGGAGACCACAGAAGAACCCTCTTGCCAGATCCCATAACTCCTGCCATCCCCAGACCCTGCAGCCTGCAGGATGAAGCACTCACCCTCCTCTATGTTTCCTGGGGTGCCATAAGCATCAAAGAGGCTTCTGCATGTCACCAGTGGTGTCACCACGTCTCATTCCACTGGCAAGGGACCGCCTGGGCCAGGAGGCAGCTCTGCTGCCCAGCCCTGCTCAGGGGGCATCAAGGTCCTGGTGATGATCACAGCAGCATCAGCCATGGCCCTGTGGCTTGGAGAGGCTCCAAGGGGAGGTGGGGATGTGCAGCTGCCTGACTCAGCCACCGGCTCTGGAGCAGGAGGAGGGTGTGGGATGACTCAGGAGATGCCGTTTGCGTGGGGCAGGTGGGAAGCGGTGAGTAGGCAAAGCCAGACAGGAGCTGCAAGCCCGAGTCAGAGTAGTGGGAAAGACCCAGGGATGAGACATTATTTGTTGTGAGATAGTTCTCCCATCCTCCAGCCCGCGGGACTGCAGCCCTCCCTTCCCTTTGCCCTCACTGCAAAGTGCTCTGGCGGGGAAAATGTCACAGGTAAGGACAGGTCACTTTGACTTTCGTGAGGTGACAGTGGCCAGAGATGGCTCCTGCCCACAGTGGGCAGCCCTGATACCCACATCAGCCTTTCCTGTAAGCTGGATGCCTTGGATGTGTCGGGAGGTTAGTTTTCCTGCCTGAGCTGGGGCTCTTCGTGCTCAGACCTCTGGTCCCGTGGTCCTGGAGAAGCTCTGATGGCTGCATGTCACCAGGTTTCCCTCTCTCCTGCCAGGATCTGCAAACCCCATCCCTGTCCCTGGAGGAGCCAGGTGGACCTGATGCATCCCAGCCTGTCTCTCTCTGCTCCATAACCACCCTGGCAGTCTCTCCCTGTTTTCCTGCTGAAGCATCCCCCAGGCTGGGATACTCCTTCCTTGGAGCTCTCACGGTATTGGACGCACAGAACTCAGAGAGCTTCAAAGCACCGAGAAACCAGCAGGTACTGACCCCTCCTGCACTTCCCAGCTGGGACTGGATCACTGGGAAACACCAACAACCTCTGCCCACCACCACCGGCCTTCAACACATGCCATCATCTCCCTCCTTCCCTGGTCCTCCTGCCCGTGACACCGGCCTGAACCCATTGCTCATGCACCCCCACTCCCTTCTCCTTGGTTGGATGACACAGGAAGGACAAGTCTCAACCCAAATCCCTTCAGCATCTGCCCAGCCCTGTCCTGCTCACCGGCTCATCCTTCTCCTCTGAAAGCCGTGACGAGGCCAGCTTGGAGCACCACAGTTATCTTGGGCAAAACTTGACCCTCGTGTGTGTCAGTGCCAGACCAGAGGCTTTGGCTACTTTGCCCCAGGGCTGCACTGGGTCTTGGGGCCACGCACTGGGCACACAGTGGACACAAGGACAGAGGCCACACCATGACCCTTGGGTCATGTGCCAAACAGCTGGCAGACCCAAGGCCAGATTGTGACCCCAGGTTCCTGCGTCCTGCCACGTGCTGTCACACTGGGAACAACAACTGTGGGGTGCCTGGCATTGTGGCCTCACAGCTGGGAAGCAGCTCAACCCATTTTTCTCTGCAGTGGTTTTCCCCACAGCCCTGTGGGGACCCTGGGATTAACGACGCGGCCATATGGACCACGGGAAGGGTTGTGTTCCTCCCAGGGAGCGCTGGACCAGGCGAACAGCATCCTCAGTGAGGCCTGATCCCCAAATACTGGTCCCACGGAAAAACCCGAACGCTTGCCCATGCTGCTTTTGCTCGGGCACAGCTTCCCGTGGGACAGGCACTGCCTGGCAGAGCAGGACTTCCAGCAGGATGCCCTGGGGCACGTCCTGCCCCGTCCTCGCGGCACGCCTCACCTTCTGAGCCTGGCAGATCATCTTCCTCACCACCTCCTTGATGTGCGCCTGCCCCTCGATGGGCGGCTGCATGTAGACGGTGGCGCGGGTGACCCCGCGGTAGGCGATGGTCTCGGGCCAGCCCAGGTCCAGCTGCGGGATGGAGCGGTCGGACCTCTGGGGCCAGTACTCCAGGGAAGGAGCCATGTCCTGCTCATCCCCTTGGCTGTTGCCATCCCCTTCGCTCCCCCCCGCGCTGCCGCCGTGGCGCGGGATGTACTCAGAGCCGGGGTCGTACGTCTCCAGCGTGTCCAGGATCTTCTTGAGCTCCAGCTCGGAGAGGAAGTCCCTGATGTTCTCCCTCTTCAGGACCTCGTAGAAGGCGTCGCGGCCATGGGAGGCCAGTGCCTCCAGGGCCAGGCGTTGCTCCTCGCTGTAGAAGAACTCGGGCTTGGACTCGCTGGACCTCCAGTTGACGTGGCTGTCATCCAGGCACTGCACCTGGGAGAAAGCCATGGTGACCGCGCGCCTCTCCCAGGGGAGCTCTGTGCCCCCACCGAGCGCCGGATGTCGGCAATAAATAAGGAATTAATTATTCTCCAGTCTTTAAACACACGATCCCCTTTTGCTTCGCCCTCCCTGGCTCGACGGGCAGCTCGGGAAAGGCAGCGCTCCCTTTTCCAACGGCTCCTGCCACGCCGGAGCTCTTCTCTGCTGGGGAGGAGGATTTGGTTTCTGGCTTGCTCCCGGCTCCACGGGGTGAGAGGGCTCCAGGCAAGATAAACACGGAGCTTCCCACGGCCGGGGCTGTGTGACAGGGCAGAGACAGCCCCAGGTGTATGAGCACCGCCAGGAAGGTCCTTCACCTCCGAGTCCACGCTCTCCTCATCCTCTGCTCTCCCAAGACAACGATAACACACCCGACGAAATAAAAAGTGGAGGAAAAAAAAAAGAAACAAAGAGAAAACTGGCTTAATGAAGGGCAGCGAGAAGCAGGATTTCTCGGCCGAGACGCCGTCCCTGGTTATCCCCCCTGGAGCAGCGGGTCAGCCCGTGGGTCTGGCGGCGGCGAACGCTCCCCGTCAGCCTCCTGTGCATCGCCCTGGCTGGCAGGTCGGTGGCTCGGGGCTCCTGCCAGCGCGCAGTGCCGGGGCCGGACAGGTAACAGCAAGAAGTGAAAAGAGGAAAAGGAAAAGAGTGATTCATCCCTCCGCCCTGCCCCACCTGCAGTCACATGTTGCCTTCACACATTCCCTGCCCTGCCCCGATTAACTCTTTCGGCTGATGTGTCCTCACGCCTGAGACCCGGAGCCTGGGAACCCCCCGGAGCGTGCGGGTGCCGGAGGGTGGTGGGAGGCTGGGGAGGGGTTTAGGTGTTTGGCTTAAAAAAAAAAAAAAAAAAAAAAAAAAGCGCGCCTCTCCCCTGAAATCCCTCCCTCTCCCGGTGTGCCAGCTGGTAAGTCAATATTTTCCAGGAAAACAGCTCTGTCCTGTGGTTAACCCCTCCTGTGCTGGTGTGGGAGCTCGGAGCCCAGGTGGGTCCCAGGGGGCAGCACCGGGGCGGAGCTGCGTGAAGGCAGATTTAGACAGGATAGTAGAAAGCATTCTTTAGGGAGAGGGTGATTCAGTTCTGGAACAGGCTTCCTAGAGAGGTGGTCAATGCCCCGAACCTGTAAGTGTTTAAGAGGCATTTAGACAATGCCCTTAATTTTTTTTATCAGCCCTGAATTGGTCAGGAAGTGGGACCAGATCATTGTAGGGCTCTTCCAACTGAAAATATTCTATTCTGTCCTGTCCTGTCCAGTCCCTTCCTCTATAAGGTTTGCAGCATGGACATGAACGCAGTTACGTCACCAGACCTCGCTATGGCAGATTTCATTCATAACTGGGAGATGGACAAAAAAACCCACCCTGGATTCACCAGCTGGTGCTCACAAGCCAGAAACGTGGACCTTTCTCCTGGAAGCTCAGATGAAGACGAATTTCAGGAATTGGGGTCAGATTCTTGCGCCAATGCAAAAAAGGAAAGTGCCATGGGCTGTGTCTCGCTCCCTCCCTGGCGTTGGTGTGGCTCATCTGGATCTGCAGCCGGATAAATGAGGGCCCTGCTTGAGTCAGGCTCCCGAGGCGAAGCCGCCCGTGTGCCCAGCTGCTCGGCCATCAAAGTGCTCCTCTCTGCAGGCACAGTGGCCCTGCTCATCCCACGGTGACAAGTCAGGTGTGGGGTTGTGCCCAGCCCGGCTTTGTCCTGTGCAGGAGGCGGCAGCGGGGCTGGGGGACACAGGGATGTGACAGCTGTCTGTTGGGATCATAGAAGCATTTAGGCTGGGGAAGCCCTCTAAGATCATCAAGTCCAACCCAGCGCTGCCAGGTCCAACACTAAACCGTGTCCCCAAGTGCCACATCTACAGTATAGGGGGGAATTAAGCATTTGGCTCCCACCAAATATCAGCTCAGGAGGTGCTTCAGGTGGACCTGATGAATTTAGGGAAAGGCTGTGCTGACCCCTTAGGGATTTCCTGGTGGTGGGATGTCACTTCCATGCTGTGGCCTAGCCAGTGAGTGGTGCAGCAGAGACTGAGGGTGCTGGAGCCAAAACTGGATGCTTTAGGTGAAATTCCAGCCCTGATGAGCAGGGGACAGTAAATGTGACAAAGGCAAGCACTGAGCCAGCACCCACGGAGGGCTCCAGGACCTCATTCCAGTTGTTGTCCCCCCTTGGGTAGGCTGGGAGATGCCCTGGCTCGGTGCATGGAGCGTGGGTGTGTGTGGCGTGGCTGGAGTGTGCTGTGGTTGTCCCCAGCTCAGCCACCGCCACCCGCTCCGGCTGTTTTTATTGTGCCAGGAGATTTACGGGCTCTTTTGCGGGGTGTGTGCGCTAATGATTTATTGCCTGTGGTGTAAGTGCTGCATCCCCGTCCATCATGTGATGCACTGGCTCCTGGAGTCAGCTGGTGGGGGCGGATTGGGATGGCAGAGCTCCACACCTGCAGCATCACCTGATCCCTGTACGGGGGGAAGACACCTGGAGCCCCCGTCCCCAGTTCCTGGGGGCTTCTTCACCCAGGAGTCTTTGCCCCACACAGTGAATTTAGCCCCCGAATTCAGCCCCTGTTTGCAGGGACAGATGGCTGTGCCTGAGCAGGTCAGTCCCCACCATTCCCAGTGTCCCTGGGCTGATCCAGCCGGACAGGCAGTGCCTGGCGCAGACACAGCCCCTCTCCTGCAGCCAGCTCCTCCCGGATGCAGATGGGAGCAGTCATTACAAGCTCCTAATTAATTTTCCATCTCTAGCAGAGGGCCTAAAAGAGGCAGTGGGGCCCAACACTGGGCTCTGCTCCTGGCTTGGGGGCTCTGGCTGCTCCGTTGGGCTTGGCTCCCGCTTCCCACATGCTCCGGGGTCCCACCGAGGGGTTCCATGGCTGAGCTGAGCCCTGGGATGGGCGTTTTGGCTGGAATATAACACCCAGACAACTCCTTGCCTTCTGGAGCACCTTCCACCCTCCAGCCACCAACCATTTGCATGGAGCTGAGCAGAAGGTGGTGGTTTGGAGGGGAAACTGAGGCAGGGATGGTGATGGCAGCTTTACTCACAGCTCCCAGGGGACAGAGTCACCGGAGCCCTGGCGCTGGCTCTCACCTTGGGGAAAGGCGGCCCAGGCTGGGAGTTTTTGACATCCCTGGGATGTGCTGAGCATTGCCTGTGGTCTGCCCACACCGTGTCCCTCTCCCAGCACACCCCACGCTCCTTTATGGAAAGCCCCAAGGTGTCACCAGCTGGTGTTTCAGGCAAACCAGGGGTGAGGGCTGCCCCCCGCTTGGGTTGGGGGTCACCACGTGGGAGAACCAGGATGATGCTCCCTGTCATCACAGGGATCACCTGTGCTCGTCCCCGTGCTCCTGGGAGGGCGGGTGTGGACCGGAGAGCCAGGCAGCCCATCCATATTTATGCCTGACGTTAATTTCCATCCATTTCAATATTTTATGAGCATAACAATAAAAAAAAAAGAAAGGGTTCAGCGCTCATTGAGCCATAGAAATAATTGGGTGTTGATGGTCCTGGCGCGGTGCCACGCGTGTCCCGGGAGCTGCTGGTGCTGCCCATGCCCAGGAAATTGCCACAACGGTGCAGGAACCCGGCTGGCCCCGTGTGGGGGGGGATGGACATTGCCTGCCCTGGGGCTCTGCCACCTCTGGCTGTGGCCCCAGGTCCTGGTGGGGCTCTGGAGGTCCCCCCAGGGCAGCTGTCACTGGATTTAACGTGGTGGTAGATCCAACCAGTGCTGAGCCGGGTAAGGGCAGCAGGAGGTGAGGGGATGCTGCTGGGATGGATCCTTCTGTGTTGAGGCTGATGGGATAATAAGGTGGGGGTGGCAGAGGTGGATTTCCACACAGGGTGTGCTCCCTGTTTCTCCATCCTGTCCCCTGCAAAGGTCTGGGCACCATGGCCATGGTGAAGGGTCAATATCTGCCGCAGTGGGAGCGGGTGAGAGGGGGTGCAGGGCTGACCCCTGCCCTGTGAGGGGTCTCAGCATGTCACCTGCTTCTGTCCCCCAGATTCCGTGGCCTGTGTGGACCCCGAGGAGTGCACCCGTGTCTGCGGGGCCGCCGTGGGCTGTTCCAACATCGCCTACCCCAAGCTGGTGGTGGAGCTGATGCCCAGCGGTAGGTGGGTGGGAGGGGGTCACCCCATCTCCACTGGGCTCTGCTGCACCCTGGGGCTGCTGCCATGGCTTGGATGTTGGGGGAGACCCCATGGATGGTCTGGGTGGGTCTGTGTTGAGGGGGACCCCATGGATGGTCTGGGTGGGTTTGTGCATGGGACAGCCCATGCAGCCCCTCCAAGGGCGGCTCCAAAAGTGAGGTCAGGAGATGTGGGTGACCCTGGGGCACAGCAGGGTCTCGGCATCCTGTGGTGCAGCTGAGGGTTCCCAAACCCCATCCTTGCCCCAGGGGAGACCCCAGAGCATGCCTGCAGAGGGTCAGGCATTATCCTGGGGTTGTCCCATGCCACCTCTCCCGGTTCAGCCACTCCCTGACACTCCCTCTCCTCCCCAGGGCTGCGGGGTCTGATGATCGCGGTGATGATGGCAGCACTCATGTCATCCCTGACCTCCATATTCAACAGCAGCAGCACCCTCTTCACCATGGACATCTGGAGGAAGCTGCGGCCAGGGGCCGGTGACCGGGAGCTGCTCCTCGTGGGCAGGTAGTGACCGGGGGTTTCTGGGAGACTGGTGGGGCCAGTCCAGCCTGAAAAATGCCTGTGCTCAGCCTGGTTTATGCAAGGAAAACAAGCCCTTGTGTTATTTTATGTATGAAAGCCCTGGAAATGCAGACGGTTTGGCCGGTGTGAAGCCTCTCCCCGCCGCCTCCAGCCCGTTCCCCCCGGGAAGCCGCGGCTGCTCCCGGGGCTGAGGTCGCACACGAAGCACACGGGGGGAACTTGGCCGCGTGGCGAAGGGCAGCGCTGCCCACACATGCCCCGGCTTGCTCCCGTGGGATGGCGGGTGCCCGCGGGCAGCCCGGGAACCCGCCCGCGGTGCCGCGCTCGGGGCGGCGGAGTCAGCGCTGCGGAATGCCCGGCGCGGTGCCCACGGGGCCGGGAGCGTCCTCGGCGCGGGGCAGACAATAACAAGGAGGGAATCTGGGTCAGGGCTTTGGCTGGGCTGTGCTGGGGCTGCGGGGAGAGCTGGCTGGTGCAGCGGCTGCAGGAGCAGCTGTTTCTGGGCATCCTCCACCTCCGGAGGGTGGGAAGGAGATGGGCAGTGATGCTGGGGAACAGTGGTCTCGCGTGCTCCCCCCGTGGGAAGAGGGGCTCTTGCTTCAGGGCCTGCCTCGCCCCTCCCTGGCACTGGCTTCGCTGCCGGTGACAAGGGTGTGACAACGCAGGACAGCTTTCCCGAGGATGGATAATGAGTGTTTGCAAAGGGCTTTGCCCGCCCGGGGCGGGAGTCGCTGCTGCGGTGGATCCCGGCGCTTCATTAGCGTGTCGGGTGATTAGTGAGAGCAGGACGCTGCGGATCGCGGGGACAGAGCCAACGATAAGCGCTTTGGAGAGGGAAAAAAAGCTGTTTAAGCTGCAAGTTTGATGTTTTCCTACCTGCCAGCATAGACAGAGACAGGCGGCCCGGGGTTATTTCTGAGGAGCTGCCAGGGGGGCGCAACCGCCCACCTGGACCCACCAGGGTGGGAACGCCCCATCCAGGGATCGTGGAATCCCAGAATGGTTTGGGTTGGAAGGGTCCTTAGAGATCACATCTCATTCCAACCCCCTGCCAGCACAGGGAGGAAAGGGCTTTGATTGTAGGATCGGAAAGAGCTCCCAGTTCCTGGACTTGGGCGTTTTGAGCTCCTGCTGGGCCGTGGTGCCTGGCTGGAAATCCCCGCTGGTGTTTGATGTGTGCTCCGTGCCCAGGCGGTGGCGTGGTGGTTGGAACACCCGATCCTTCCCAAATTCCCCCAGCGCCCTGCAGCAGGCTGTGCCAGCTGCTGCTCTCCATTGCTTGCCCAGACACCCACCTCGGGCTGCGTGTGGAGCAGGGCACGGACACTTGGCACTCCCAGCTCCTGCCACACTCACAACTGTGTTTTTCCACGGTCCTTTAGCATCAGACAGGGTTGGACAGGGCTTGGAGCAACCTGGTCTAGTGGGAAGTGTCCCTGCCTATGGCAGGGGGTGGAATGAGATGAGCTTTAAGGTCCCTTCCCAGCCAAACCTTTCCATCATTCTATGATTTTCTCCTCTGTGGCTCACAAACAGAGGGATTTCTCCCACCCCGTGGGTCAGGGTGTGCATTTTACGCTTGGGCTGGATCCCTTTTCCCCAGCACCTGGCAGCAGTGGGGCCTCTGGCTAGAGCTGCTTTCATGGCTTATTTTTTCTCTTATTTTTTCCTACTTCTGCTTTTCAAGATGAGCAGATGGAGATGTAGGAAATTCTGCGAAGCTGTAAATAAGCCGGGCTGAGCTATAAATATGGCAGCTTTTGGGATGGGTCCTGCCCATTTTGGGCTTGGGCCCAAAATCTGGGGTCTGGCCAACACCTCATGCTCTGGAGGAGGGTGATGCTGTGGGGTGTGGCTGGGATTTGGGCGAGGATGAGGTCAGGGTGATGTTGGGGACTAACACACCCCTCTGTCACAGCCTGGCCAGGGCAGCTGAGCACGGGGCAGCTCAGCCCAGGTCCCCAGTTCTCAGCTGGGTGCCTTGACTGGACATGGGGATGCTGAGAGCAAGTTTGGCCAGAGCACCCAACACCTGCAGCTGGTGGCTTTTCATAGTGAAAGTGCCCTTTGCCTGGTGATTCCCCATGGGGGAGTCCAGTTTAGCAGCCCCCTGGGGCTGGGCAGGGGCCTGGGGAGTGCTCACCTCCCCAGAATGGAACCAGCACAGGCATCATTAGCACCCTCTGTGGCCCTGGGGATGTCACCCAGCAGTGAGTGTCCTCCCCCTGACCCACCTCCATCTCCTGCACTGGCACTGGGACCCTGGTTTTGGGGACCCCCATTGCCACGGTGACACTGCAGGTGCCAAGAACTGCAGGTGGGACAGGAACATCACCTGCACCACCTCCCTGCCCCTCACAGGGTGGTCACGGTGGTGCTGGTGGCCCTCAGCGTGGTCTGGATCCCCATCCTGCAGAGCTCCAGTGGTGGCCAGCTCTACGTCTACATCCAGGCTGTCACCAGCTACCTGGCTCCTCCCGTCACCGCCGTCTTCGTCCTGGCTGTCTTCTGGCCCCGAGCTAACGAGCAGGTGCACGGCTGGGGTGGCCCTGGGGACAGCTTGGGGACATGGGTGGTACCAACACCCCCCTGTCTGCCCTGCTCCCAGGAACCCAGCAGGGCCTGGGGGGTTGTGAGGCGGAAGGAGGAGGAAGGGAGGGGGCGATGCTGGAGGGGCTGGTGAGAGGAACCGAGCCTGGCTGGTGTTCCCCTGGGAGCTGGTGGGTGCCTGGTGCGAAAAAGAGGAGGAGGAGGTGGCAGGTGCTGCCATGCATGGCCACCAGGTGTGGCATGGCCAATGGGGGTGGCAGGGGGCATCCCCTGCAGAGGGGGGGGCAGAGCTCAGCCGTGCTCCAACACACAGGGGCCACTAGACCTTCTCCCAGGGCTGGCTGGAAGGAGCAGCTCCCAGGGGGTTTGTCCCTGCTGTGGGGTGACCATCCTGCTCCAGCCACCCCCCCACAGATCTTGGCTTTGCAGGGAGCTTTCTGGGGCCTGATGGCAGGGCTGGCGCTGGGACTGGCCAGGCTGGGGCTGGAGCTGGCACACCCCACACCCCGCTGTGGGGTCCCCGACCAGCGGCCCTGGCTGCTCACTGACATCCACTACCTGCACTTTGCTGTGCTCCTGGCCACCGCCACAGCCGCTGTCGTGGTGGGGGGCAGCCTGCTGACCCCCCCACCGCCCCCAGCCCAGGTGAGTGGGGCACCCAGACCCCTCACCCTGTCCCCCCACCGGATCTCCTTGGATGGAGACATCAAGTGTCACCCTGTGCACCCCGAGCTCGGCCAGGGGGTCCCCACAGGGGTCTGGCCTGGGGGGGTTTTCTCAGTAAATCTCACCCTGGTTTCCAGCTGAAGGATCTCACCTGGTGGACCCTCTCACAGGAGCCCCCCCAGCCCTCTGTGTGTGGCACATCCCAGGGACCCCCCGATGGTGAGTGTGTCCTCGGGGGTGTCTGGCAGGGGAGGCACAGCAGTGCCCCCCACTCCCTGCCTGTAACGGGCAGCAGGATGGCATGGACACCTCCTCCTGGCTGGTCCCCAGGGCTGTCTGTCCTCCACACTCACTGTATTTCTCTTCCAGGTTCCTGCTCATCCTACCCAGACATCCAGCAGCCATCCAAGGCTGTGGGACCCCCAGCTGTGGCCCTCAAGGACACCACAGAACCTCCATTCTGGGCCCGTGTCTGCGACATCAACGCTGTTGTCCTGATGTGTGTCAATATTTTCTGTTATGCCTATTTTGCCTAGTGCCCAGCCAGCCCTTGGAGAGGGAGAAAGCTGCTGGGAGGGGGGGGAAATGGGGATTTGGGTGATAGCTTTTATTTGTCACACTTAGGACACGTGATGTTTAAATCCACTGGTGCAGTGAGCTGGGCATTCTCAGCACTGCGGACCCTGAGTGCATCCCAGGGGGTGTGAGGTGTGGGGGGCATTTGTGAGGGCAGCAAGTCCCTGGGAGGGGTTTGGGACGGGGATTTGGGTGGGAAAATGGGAGCTTCACTTGGAACAAATCCACAACAAAGCAGCGGGGGCATGAATTCAGGACAGGACCATCTTGGCAGTGGTGGGAAAGGAGCAGTCACACTCGTGGGTGTCACCCCAACAAATTTTACTAGCTCTAAATAAAAAAAAAAAATACTATAAAGCCACAATTTGCAGCTATGAACAGCACCCACAGGACTGAATCCCCCTGGATCAGCCTTCCCTGGAACCCTGAGTCCCGGCATCCCTCCACGGGGTCACGGAGCCCAGCTGCATCCTGGCTGCCTGCAGCCCTCCCTGGAGGTGGGTTCTTCGCTTACAGGGCCCGGAGAGGAGCCAAGGTTTGGGGGACACTTGCTCTCCCCCTCTGTTGCTGTCATCCCACTGGACTGTGGCTCTGGAAAAGTTTTTATGGCTGTGGGGATGAAGGGACACACAGTCCGCGCGTGGGCACGAAGCGGCTCCCGTGGGTGGGGGCAGTGGGGCGGGTCCTGCCGCGCCCGCGGGGTCGGGAGGGGGGGGTCACTTGCGGATGGGGTGGACGTAATTCCGGGGGAAGAAGCCGACCCGGCCGTAGATCTTCCCCTGCCACCAGTTGGGGTCAGGGCAGTCCAGGACCTCGATGATGTCCCCGCGGAGGAAGGGCAGCTGGGAGCCCTCGTGGGCTGGGAAGTCGAACTGGGCTTGCACGAATCGGGGTCTGCCCACCTGGAGGGAAGTTGAGGGCAGGGGTTGGTGGTGGGGAGAGGGGTCCCCACCCACCAGCCCCTCCGCACCAGGTTGCACTGTTTGGGTCCCCAGAGTGACAAGGACACTGTGCCACTGTGGGACAAGGACCAGCCCTGGGAGGGCTTGGGGTGTCTACTTTGAGGGGAGAGAAGGAAACTAGGGAAATCCTGCCATGGGAAGAATGGAATGCTGGGGATGGCCCTGAGTGCAGGGAAGAGCCTGGGGTGCAGGGGAGCACCCTGGGGTGCAGGGGAACATCCTGGGATGCAGCCACAGCCTGGGGCTCAGGGCAGAGCCAGGGATGCAGAGGAGCACCTTGGGGTGCAGGGAAACACCCTGGGGTGCAGGACACAGCCTGGGGTGCAGAGGAGCAGCGTGGGATGCAGGGAAGAGCCCGCGGTGCAGGGGAGCACCCCAGAGCCCAGGAAACTCCCTGTTCCTGCTGCTGGGAGAGCCAAGATGGGTGCTCAGGGGACCCCTTCCCTTTGGAGGCAGCTGGCACTCCTATCCTTCCCACGTTCTTCCCAGGCCCTTCTGGGTGCTGGAGCCTCTCCCATCCCAGCTCCCAAGGTCCAGTTTTGCTGCCTCCACAGCCACTGCCCCAGGGCTTGGCTTTGCTGGAGTTTGCCCCAGGCTGGCTGTGCCCTGTCCTGGGCTGGTCAGGCTCTGCCACCCACCCTGGGCATCATCCCTGGCCCAAGGGATGGTGGCAAGTGCCCGGGGTGACCTGCCTTGCCCTGCCCTGTTCTACCCTGCTGAGATGCTCTGGGGGCTTTTCCTCCCTGCAGTGCTGCTGCACCCTCTCCTTCTCCACCCTAGAGAGCCAAGGGCCAGGTGTCCCAAGGATGTCCCTGTCCCCCTCTGTGGGGATGCTGAGGCTTGAGGGGGCTTGAGGGCTTTGGGAGCAGCCAGGCCATCACCCCACACCCCAGCTCTGCATGTCCCCATGGCCCCTTCCATGGCTGTACCTCCTGGCTCTGGTCCTCGTCCCGGAGGAAGATCTGCTGCTCTTTGGCGATCGTGGTCGTCCTGTAGAAATCCACCAGCTCATTGAGGGAATTGAACTTTTCCTCCCAGAGGAAATACTTGCCGTTCCTCTCCCTGAGCACCTTGAAGTGCTGGATGTGCTTCCCGTAGCTGTGGAAGGAGGATGGATGTTATCCTGGCCTTGGGATGCTGGCAGCACCCAGACCCTCTTCTGGCAAGGTAGGAAAACCTGGAGGTGCTGAGGAGGTTGGAAGGAGCCCGGGGGTCTCACTATACCCATCCTGCCATGGTGGGGATGACTGGGGTTGCTCCTAGTCCTGAAACAAGGGCTCACAGCTGAGACCTGCTACAGCTCATCCCACAGGCAGCTGAAGCTCAGTCCCAGCCCTGGCACAGCAGGATGCCCGTGGGCTCAGGGAGGGCAGTGTGCCAGCCGTGTGTAGGGCAGGTGGCTTTGTCCAGGGCCACATCTGAGGAACGTGTGGTGAGAGCTGCAGGTCTCAGCTCAGCACGTACGGGGAGGAGGTTGAAAATGTTGGGGTTGGGCTCCCAGCTTCCCTGCACTCCTGGGGACCCCCAAGCCGCAGGAGGATGGGACAGGCCAGGATTTCCCTTGCAGCCCCCCATGCTGGCATCCCTTGGAGTGTACCTGGGGGTGCCAGGTTGGGGTGTCTGCATTGCAGGGACCTGCCTCTGCCAGGCCCCCGGGCAGGGGCAGGACCTGCCATGCTGGTGACGCACAGCAGAGCACGGCTCCCTTTCATTATGGGCAAGAACCTCCCAGAACGTTTCATTAGGGATTAGCAGTGTGAGAAAGTGCCTGGCTGGCCTGCGGCCTGCTCCTGCTCCCCCAGCTGGGGCAGGGAAGGGGCAGCGATGGGATGAGATTCCCGGAGATAGGCTCTGCCCTGGCTGCCGATGCCAAAGGCATCAGGATGCTGCAGCCCTTCATCCCTGGGGATGCTCCGGGAGGCAGCTTGTTCCCGCGGGCCGTGTCCCCTGGACTGTGCTTGCAGGTTGTCCCCAGCTCCATCCTCACCCACAGGGCTGTGTTTAGGGGTGCCCCTGGGAGGGACCCCGGGCGAGGCAGCGGTGCAGGCAGCAGGAAGCAGCGGGGCTGGAGGCGGAGCGCGGGGATATGGGGGGGAGGAAGGAGAGGAAGGAAAGGAAAGCCCTATGCGAGGCTGTGCCTGGACGCTCTGGGGACGTGGCTCCGCAGCCCCCAACCCCTTCGAGGTGGCGGGGACCGGGCAGGGTGCTCGCCCCTTCCCCAGCACTGTCACGGGGACCCCACGCAAGGGTGGCCTGATGCCTCAGTGCCCAAAGCGGGGGCTGCAGGGACCCCCATCCTGCCACGTGTCCCAGGGCCACTCACTTGACGGAGATGGAGAACTCCCCCGGGGTGCTCTCGCTGTCGCGGATCAGGAAGGCTCCCACGTGATTGCGTTTGAGGAGCTGCTTCTCTGCCAGCTGCCGGGAGATCCTGCCCGAGTACCACCTGGGAGGGACACCGGGCTGAGCCACAGGGGCAGCCCTGGACACCCGGGGACACCCCAGTGCCACGTCCCCACCCCGCAGGACGAGAGCCCCGCTGCTGGCAGGAGAGGGGTCTCCATAGGGCTCCACACAGGGCCGGGAGCCCCCCACAGCAGTCACTCCCTTCCCTCCCCCTCCCGATTTATCGTGGGGCGAGGCACCACAGGGTGCTGTGGGTGCAGAGGTGTTTCCCACGTGCGGGGTGAGCGCAGCATCGCTGACAGCCGCGACCGCATCCTGTCACCTGCCCGCTCACATCACGTGCCTCGTCCCCCACTTTGCTGCCTGTCCCCTCCTCCGTGTCCCTTGGCCCCTCATGGGAGCAGCCCTTCCAGGTGTAGAGCAGAAAACCCTCCGTGCCAGGATAAAACCCTCCTGCTTGCTTTGGTGGCAGCTGCCAAAACGAGGTGGGGGAGCAGAGTCCCCATCTCCCATCCCTGCCAAGGCTGCGTCCGGGCATTTTGCACCCTCAGGCCGTGGGCACCCTCTGCTACCTGTCCCACGAATGATCAGCCACGGACTTCAGCACAGAGTCAACCCTCCAGGTGCTGCATGGAAGAGGCTGCACCTCAGCCATCCCGAAGCTGGATGTGCCCCAGGCTGCCTCGAGCCCACGCCTTTGCTCTGGCATTTAAATGTGGTTTACCGGGGGCTAATGATACATAAAACACAGGTTAAATCAGGGATGGATTACAGTGGGCTTTAATAACACGGTAATAGGATTGTGTCTAATGCAGTTGTAATCCCATAACGCTTTGTTGTTCCCCAATTATCATTTATTTAGTGGCAGCCCGGTGTGAGGGTTGGATTTTGGTGTGTTGGGGGGTATGTGGGTGTTCCTCTGCCTCCCGTCCCCTGGGGCTGTGGTGGCAATGGCAGGCTGATTGAGCAGTCAGACCCCATCTCCCTGACTCAGTTTCCCCACGTGTGGGACTACCCTGGCTCGTGGCAGACCTTTGGGAATTGGGATGCACCGTTGGGATCGCTGCCTGGGTGGTGGGTGCTCGAGCCCCCCTTCCCCATACGGTGGGATGGCACTTACGGGTGTGGCTTGACCTTGATGTAGTTCTTGGGGACGAAGCCCTCACAGCCAAACAGCTCAGCCTTGTACCAGTTCTGGTCATCTTCCATGTTGAGGATCTAAGGGGGGAGAGGAACAGGGAGGCATCAGCCTGGGAGAGGGGCCGAGTGGGACCCCCATTGCTGCCCTAGACCCCACGTCACCCCCCAAAACCTGGGGAAAGGGGGCTCTGCCAACAGTGACACGTTCTGGGGGGGTTTGGGGGCACCTGGATGCTCCCCCCAGCCCTCCTTGACTTGCCAGGGATGCCAACAGCTGGGAGGTGCCCGGCATTGTCCCAAACCCCTGACGAGAGAAGAGGGTGAAATCTGTCCCTGGAGTAGCCGGGACATCAGCCAGGCCCCACGTCCTCCCAGGACAGTGGCAGTGGGTGCCCCGTGGGAGGAAGTGCCCCAGTGAGAGCAGGGTGCTGACACCCACTTGTGTGTGACACCATTTTCCAGCGTCCCACGCAGGGGCCCGGGGGTGGCACAGCTGTGCAAACAGGATCTGAAACCCCGGGTCACGGTCTGGGGCCATGGGGAAAACACCCTGGGCACCAGGGACGGGCATAGGGGTTTGGGGCCCCGGGTTACAGCCAGGCCGTGCCCTCGCCCCTCCTGGGGGTGGCTGCACCTAATGGGGGGCTACAAGGTGCTGGGGGACCAGGAGAAGTTGCCAGCATTGCAGCACCAGCCCCATGGACAGGACAGCAGGGGAGGGTGTGGGTGCTCTCACCCTGTAGCAGGGCTGCAGCCCCCCCAGGGATATTCTGAGCCCCCCTGATGCTTTTTGGGATTCCCAGGGGGCATTTAAGAGCCTGTCCTGATGTCAGTGCCCTGGCATCAGGGTGGGTGTTTGGGCACATGCTCCCAGCTGCTGGATCCCTCCAGCCCCCAGTGCCTCGGTGGGGCAGGAAAAATGTGTTCCAGCCCTGGGGGGCTGCTGCAGGGCACAGCTGGTGGCACCAATGGCCAGGGGGGCCACATGCCATGTCCCAGCTGGGCATGTCCCTCTCTGGAGATGTGCTTGGTGGCACAGGCAAGCGGTACCCATTGCTGGGAATGCTGTTCCGCACCCCAAAATCCTCAAGGTTGGCTCCTTATACCCCACAGAGGGCCCCAAAGAGGCAACAAAGCCAGGGGCAGTGAAACCACCGGTGTCATCCCGTGCCCTGTGCTCACCCAGTCCCCCGTGCTCACCCAGTCCCCCAAAAGCAACAGCATCCAACACCCCCCATGGCTGGTGACCCCCTGCCCTCGGTACCTTCAGGGTGTCCCCTTTCTGGAAGGGCAGCTCGTCCTTCTCCGTCGTCTGGAAGCTGTACAGAGCCACCGACTCCATGGCTGTCACCAGGGGGTCTGGAGGGGTGCCAGGGGGCTGCCTGGGGCTCAGCACCCCGCGGGGCTCTGGGCTCCGGGCCGAGCACACGGCGCGGCGGTGCCGGCGGGCAGGAAACCGCGCTGATGTCACGGCACTGCCGGAGCACCACGAGGGTGCTGCCAGCAGGCACAGCTGCCCAGATGTGCTCAGAGGGGTGGGGAGCTGTGCCAGCCCACCTGGGTGCCAGGGGAACAAAGGAATCTCCCAAGGGATCCGGGTGCATCCCCTCCGCGGTGGGTGGTGGGCAGCGGTGGGGATTTGGATGGAAACAGGACGGTGATGGGCTGGACGCGGGTTGAGGATGTTGGGAAGTGTGTTTGGAGGGCACGGGCAGGCTGGCAGTGCTGGGGTATGGGAATCTCTGATGTCTTGTAAAGGCTGAGCTGCCAAAAGGTGGCTTGGTGGGAATGGTTGTTCCGGAAGAAAAAAATCACGGAGGGTGGGAAAGGCGGAGGCGGAGGGCGGTGGGCGGATGTACACACCTGGATTCTTTGGAATTCAGATCGAACACTCCGTGTCCCAGCTCTGAACAGTCAGATCTCAGCACAACCGTCATTGGCTTTTTGGGTCGTGTCCCTTCGGTGGGTTGATTTTTCCCAGCTTTCTTTTGCAGGGCTAGGGAATGAAAATCCCTTTTAGACTGAAACGACTTCCCGCAGCTCTCGTGGGCGTCAGGCACTGAGCGTGCAGGGCTCGCCCACCGGGTATGGTTCCCAGCGGGAAGGTCTCCGATGCTGTGCAGCCTTCCTGTGTGTGGGCTGGGGCACGAAGAGTGTGGAAAATCCGCCAGACACTGGCTTGCTTTGCTGTGAGGAATTAAAGCAGGGACAGCTGCAGCTCAGGCCCTGCCCATGGATTTGGGCACTTTCCAGCGAGGAGCAGGATGCCGCTGCCATCTGCCCAGGGTGGGATGAGCCGTGGTGCTTGCAGGGCCACTGTGGGGACACGGGCTCGATGATTCACCTCCTCCAAACCTTAATCCCAATTCCTGACTGCATTCGAAAAGCAAACCCCATATAAGGCCCCACTGAGGCCGTTTTCAGGCTCTCACGCCCATGGGAAGAGGAGAGGGATGTGTAGGGTGGCCCTGAGTGTCCCCACAAACAGTGAGGCCCCAGTCCCCAGTGGTTATCCCTGGGATCTGCTGGTCCCAGGGGAAGCGGAGACACTGGGAAGGCCTGGAAGGTCAGGGAGGCCGTGGGAAGAGGCTCCATATAAGCTTGCCTGTCACATGGAGGACTGGACTTGGTGAATCCCTGTGTCCCGGAGAGACCCAGGCGATGGGAATGCAGCAGGAAGAGACCCAGGGGATGGGAATGCAGCAGGAAGACGGCTCTCTAGAGCTTCCCCTACCCCCTGGCAGCCTTGGCGAGGATGGAGCTGGATGTTCCCAGGGGAAACCAGCCCAGCAGAGCCACTGTTCCATCCTTGCTGTGGCCAAGAGCCTGATCCTGTCCCTGTGTCCATCAGCCCAAACTGGATGATAGGAAGTCCATTCCAGGGTGGAGGAATGGAATTCCATTTCCCTGGTAAGGAACAATAGGGCAGTGGGGGGGGATGACTGGGCACTGGGAGGGTTGGTGTGGGAGAAACCTGCAGCCCAGGGAGAGGGTTTTTGGGGTGACAATCCCTGTGCTGTAGGTGGACACCGGGAGCAGTCTGGGGGCTCAGCTTCCTGGGGCTGGGAGTAGGGAGGCTTGGGGAGCACCCCGGGGTGTCCGGGCTGGAGCCATGGGTGCTGCCACACTGCCTGGGCGTGGGGCACAGGGCAGTGGGGTCACAGAGGGGTCCCCAGGCCTTGGCACAGTGCTGGACTCAGGACCGGAGCAGGATGGGATCCTGCCAGCAGATGGCAGCAGATCCCAGAGGGACACTGGGGACACTGGGGACAGGCCACCTGCCCCTCCACTGATGCTCTAAAGGAAGCAGGCAGCCCCTCTGTCAGGTCTGTCCTGCCACCTTCTACATCACAGCCCCTCCCCGACCCCCTTCCCTCGCTCCATCCTTCCTGCTGCCCCGGCTGTGGTCCCTGTGCTGGGTCTGTGTCCCTCCTGCTCACTGGTGTCCCAGTTGTGGCTCGCTGTCCCTGGCTGCTGCCTGAGCACACGTGGTCACTGTGGGGGTGACAGCAGCACCCCGACCTCAGGAGTGATGCCAGAGCAGCCTGTAGCCCCTTTTCTGGGTTGGGAGCGAAACACTCCCATGTCCAGCTGGTTTCTGGGTGCCTCATCCCAACTCGCTGCCATGGAGCAGGACAGGATTCCCTGGTGCCAGGAGGGGAGCAGTGCCCAGTGAGGCGTTTGGTACCTGTGCAGCATCTGCTGCCTCCAGGGAACGCCTCTAGGGAACCCCTTATCCTGGTACTGCAAAACATGAGATGCCTGTCACATCCTCTCGCCCAGCTGTGTCATTCCCTGACAAAACCCTTGTGCCTGCTCCAAATCCGCCCCATGCCATGCTCACCAGCCCTCGGGAGAAGCCTGGATCCCAGAGGTGGCCGACCATGAGGCTGTGCTGCTGAGCCCTGCAGGCTCCAACTGGGAGCCAATGGTTGACTAACCACGGGCCTGAGACATCCAAGAAACATCAAAACAAAGGGGTTGGGTTTTTTCCACCATCTCCCCTCTTGTGCCTCGTCAAGCAGCCACACTTTGTGCAGCACACCCTGGAGCAGAGCAGGCAGAGCCTGTCTCTGCAGTGCCAGCCGTGAGCTGGTGCCTGGGATACGGGGGCATCTGTGCCCCCATCTCTGTGCCCTGCGTGTTCAGAGGGACCCAGGAGGTGCCACGTGGTTGTCACTGGTCGGGTGTCAAAGGCTGCAGCCTGGAGCAAGGTGCTGAGCATCAGCCCAGCCTGCAAGGAGATGCCAAGGGATCCCAGGGAGGTGCAGTGGATCACCTGAGGGCACGCAGCAGTGGGTGGGAGCCCACCTTGCCCTGGGTTTAACCACCAGCCCACGTAGCCTCTCCCTCCATGCAGAGGAATTCCATGACCCTGGGGACAGGTGGAGGAAAGTGCAGGGGGCTCTGGCATTGTCCTTTCCCAGCTCTATGGCTGCTCTGGGCACTGGGAGCTGCCTGGAGCTCCTGCTGACTCCCGGGTTGCCCAATCTGCCCAGCCCCTGTTTCATCAACATCCTGTGTTTACCTGGCTGAAAAATCCCCACTCGGGAGGGAGGAAGAGGAGGGAGGGGAGCCTCTTCCCCTTCCGCCGGGGGCCTGGGGAGCTTTGTTGTGGAGCTACCCCGGGCTCCCCGGCTCCTCTCTGGCCAGTGCTCCTGCCCTCTGTGCTGTGCCACGGCCCTTGGTGCTGTCTGGGGAGGACGGGAGAGCAGGGGGTGTCTCCAGCCTGGCTTTGCCTCCCGAGGGGCTGTGAGCTGGGCCTGGATGGTGCAGGGCTGGGCAAGGTGAGCTGCCTCGTTCCGCAGCCCCTGGAGTGCAGGAGAGGCTTTGCTCCCAGGAGTGAGCAGGGAGAGGGACAGATCCTGCCCCATCCCACAGCAGTGTGACAGGGGGTTGGGAATGCAGCACAGCCTGGATTTAAGCTCTTGCCTGGATGCTACATGTGGATAAACCCAGGCACACAGGCCAGCAGAGGTGTCACTCGTGTTGCTGCCTGTGTGCCTGGGGACGGGATCGGCCCTTGGGATAGGGATCCGGATGTCTGTCGAGGGGGATCCGGATGTCCCTCGAGGAAGCAGGTGCCCCTCTGAGGCCCCACACGGAGAGGAAGCAACATCCTGGGCTAGAAAACGCCACGTCAGTGCCCGTAAACAGCATTTCAGAGTCAGCACTTTCCCCCTGGAGCAGAGGCCACGTCAGTAACTCCTGAGCATCAGATCTTCTGCAGAACCCTATTTCTCTGCAAAGCCCAGCCCACACCGAGGAACTTGTGTCACCATTTACACCCTGGTGTAACTGAGTAGAGAGGATCAGAGCCCTCTGAAACTCCCATCATCCCAGAGGACTTGTAGGAAAACATTTACAGGAGGGGCAGCCAGCAGACCCAAGGCCAGTTGGCCACGCTTGGCCCAGTGTGGCCGTGAGAGGCTCCTTGAGGTGCTGGTGGCCTCCAGATATGGAGCTACATCTCCTTGGGGTCAACATGGGTGGTTGGGGCTGGTATTAGGGTTTTTGGGCTGGTAAATCAGAGCAGGTCCCGATTGCTTGTGGTACAGGTGGGATGGAAAGCAGGACTGTGCTCTCGTGGGGGAAGCCCGAGGGCAGGAGGCTGGTGATGGGAACTCACTTTCAGCACTTGGGCCTGAGGATGGATCTGGAAAAAGACTGGAAGTCATGAACTCTCAGGTGTGGAATTCAACCCCAAACTTGCAGTAGAGGGTCACTGAGAGGGCAGCTCATCCCAAACAGCCTCCTTAAGAGGGTTGCAGCCTTGGAGGGTGGCTGGGACCAGTCTCCTGGGAAAGGGCCAAACACACTTTAGGTGAGGAGGGAAAGCCCAGACAGAGCAGCCTTTGGGGAACAAACATTGGGTGCTTCCTGAGGGGCTCCCAGAGCTCAGTTTTGGACTGATGGACATGAGCAGTGCTGGTACCTGGCTCTGGGGACAGGTGGTGCCTCTGTTTTGGTCCAGGGCATGACTGGGAGGGGAACCCATCAGGGGCCAGGATCAGGTTACAGAGGTGTAAACAATTAATGAGTTAATCACCAGGACCAGCATCGCTGAAGCATATTGGCCTCCCTGGGCCCTATAAAAAGGAGATGGAGGCCACAGTTGTGCTTGGGCTGGGGAGCTGAGGATGTTTTGTGTTCTGGCAATGTCTTGAAGATGCTTCTGGGATCCTGCTGCTCCCTGAGATGGTTCCCCTTGGCAGCCTGGCACACCAAGAGCAGAAGGTGGGTTGTCCCTCTGTGCAGTGCCCTCCCTCCAGCTGGCCTTGGCCTCCCTATGTGTGACCTGGAGAAGACAGAGCTGTTCAGGTCTGCCTGGACAAGTACTTGGTGTTCAACTGGCAGGAGATCTTGTGTGCTCCATGTCTAGTCCTTGGCTCTGTCCTGGGATCTTGCTGTGGTCCCTGACACACCT